CTTCAAATTGACGCCTGCATTAATATTCACCTTAACTCAAGTTTGATTCTGTGAGGATATACTTAAAAAAGAGAAAGTAATGGATTTATTCTTGAATGTATGTATTAGTACTTTTTATATTTAGACATGGATGTCATATCATCCATGCCAATGATTATCCTGTATACTTTTTTTTTATTTATGGTGACCTTGCTTGTTTTGTTCTTGAATACCAAGGTTAACATATATTCCTGTGCAGTGTACAATGGTTCTTAATCTCTTCCTGTGTAGAGGTCTTCTTTCTTGGCATCAAACAATGAAACAATCATGGACATTTTAATTTAGTATTTCTTGTGGTCAATGAGAACTCCACTTCTGTGACATATATGTTGCAGTATCAAACTCAACATAGCCATATATGTACCTCCTTTGAACTTTCCATCCTGTTACTAATTTGTTACGTTTGAGTAAAGTATTTCTTTTTATCTCTTTCTTTCCGCTCAAAAATAATTAGTTAAAAGGCATTTCCAGACTTTTACTTGTAGCATCTCGTATACAAATTTTTTTTTAGAGACGATTGGTACTACAAAATCAAAGAATAGCAACAAATGCAGAGCTTTTTGTCTTGCACTCACACTGTATAAGCTTGTTCTTATATTGTCTGATTTTGGCTTCCTGTTTATTCTTGCAATTTACTCTGGTGAGTGCAAGACAAAAAGATTTTAGTGTCTGTTTTTGTGCTATTTTTCAATAATTTAAAGGTACTATTTATCATCTTAGATGATATGATGACAAGTGTCACAAAACAACTCAGAAAAACAAACGCAAATTATAATACAATGGATGTAGGATCTGGCAACAAAGGAAGAAAAGGTGTGTCGGTTAATTCCAGCGGTTTGAAAAATATTGAAAACTAAAAAATAATCACTAGATTTTCACCTTTCAACAAGTTCTTCAAAGATTTTTAAATTGATTGAGACACTATTGAATTACAGGAGAGGACTTTTTAGATTGTTAAATAGTATACAAATAATGATTCAATAGAATCTTACAATGGATGAAAATATTCGCCCTATTGAACGAATAATAAAACATTCATTATTTGTTTTATATAACATATAAGTAGATAATAAAACATGCACGCTGAATAGAACAAAAATGCATGCTCAATGACCTAGTCGTTCAATATATTATTTATTGAATATCATGTGACCAACAATCCTCCAATCAAATGACAAGGGATCTACTTAGATCTTACATAATACCTTTAAGAATGAATGTGTTTTTAACATTGATACTATCAATATAACTTACCAGGTTATTTATGTACTCAATGCTGGCCCTAAACAAGTACAACCAGTTTTGCAACTTGGAAAGATAAAGTGTTTTTGGTAATTCTTCAAATGTGTACATATTTCAAAAAGCTGAAACCCACTGCCTATAATGTGACAAGATTTTTTTGAGACGACCATAGATCTAAATTAGGCACAGAGAAAAGGCTTTGCTGCAGCTTAGACTAATCAGTAATTGTTAATTGGCTAAACCAAACAAGTCTGACAATAAACATTTTAAAGTGGTCCAAACGGTATACAGGGTTTACTTTTTTTTTAAATCTGTAAATAAGATGAAATTATTAAATGAACGGTAATACCTACTTGCAAAATAATGTGCTATTGTAACTATTCTATTTGTAGTTTTATATGACAAATTAAATTTCCAAATCCCAAATACATTTAACAATGTAAAGATTGAAGAGAATTTCATCAAAGAGAATAATGAATAATATATAATAAATAAAATGCATCTCCAAGATACATGAAATATTAAATGTTTTCTGTCGTTTCTGATTTTGTTCTTCTCTCACATGTATAATGAAAGGTTCTATTCGTGGAGAAAGTTGATAAAGGAGCTAGGTCAAACACGAGATTTGCTTGATTTTTAGTCTTGGATTCAGATATGTGGTAATACGTATTACAGCAGCAAATAAAAAAGAACCTTTTCATACACATATTGCATCACTTTAAAAGACACCTTCTATTCTAATGTTAATAATTTTATTGTGGATGACACAATGCAATCTTGTCAAAGCTAATATAATACATTGGCTTCTGAAGCCTTTTACAGATAAAATTACATTCTCATGGATAAATCTAGAAGAAATAAAAGAAAAGCACGAAACTAATTATCTGTCTAGTAGAATTGGAAATTAAGATTTTATGGTAGAGCCATAGAATTTGTAAAAGAATAGTCTAAATCTCAGAATGAATTTTGCCCTTTTGGCAGTGCATGCTCCCAAATTCTCATTTTTTCCTTAAATCTGTCATACATCTATTGTTACTAGTCATGAGTATGAGTAGGATACCCATCACAGAACTGAGCCAGATTACTTACTTACAAGAGTCAATTAAACCACTCTATTATCTCCACACCCTGCCAAACAGTTACATTTACCTTTTAGGATGTCGGTGCATCTCTAGAATTTCATAACGCTATATTATGAGGAAGTTGGATATTAAAACTCCATTAAATACATCATCATAAGCATATAACATGTATTTGTAAAAACTTGTATTAAATACATCATTATTAACATATACCTACAGACATGTGCAAAAACTGTTATACATCAATAGTACATACGCATACATCATGTTTCTATTCAACAGGAATGAATACTTGAAAAAAAACTCTTAACATTCTAGAACCAGCAACACTTTATATTTCAAGCATATTCAATGCTTCTTGATGAAGCGTTGATCAAGGTCAACGTAAATGCACATACATGTAAAATGAAATACCTCAAGAATACTTTTACTGTCAAACAGTGAATAGGAAGAACAAAAAGTTAAAAGAGTTTTGAGATCAATTTCATCTCCAGGAGTAATACAGACCATTATTATTTTTTTTTTTAATGAAAATGGTCCATTTCATTAATTGGAAAAATAAGACACACACCTTCCTTTTTTTAGGTTAAAATTCACCCTGGTGTTCCTAATTAATCTTCCCATTTTAGAATATATTATGGAGGATAAATATGTTTATAGAAATAAAACAAATATGCTCACATGCTTTACCTCAATGCACAATTCACAATTATAATAATCAAAGTTGGAAGTATCCCAAAAGTGTGTACAGGCAACGTACTATTTATACATTTCTTTGGATTAGCACTCCCACATTTTGACACTGTTTTTCACATCTATGCATCTTCTATTTACAATTACACTGTAATGGATTCAATTGACATTCTGTGAAATAGCATTCTTCTATACAAACTACAGCTTATTACAGAAATTATGTAATTCAGGACTACCCAAGGTAATTTACAATAATGAGAATTTTCCCTCTCCTTCTTACCGAGTGTTCAATAAGATATATTGTTGAACATTGCAGATTACGTAATAAATAAGTTTTATATATAGTCGTCTCATATCATATTCACATAAATAAATAACATGTCACATAATGATAATACCGACAATTTCGAATGAAGAGCTAGGCCTTATATTATAAATAGTTTCAATTAATCCAAACTCTTACAAGTTCAACAAAAAGTTACAGTTAATTACTGTTCGCCATAGTACTTGACAGAAGAGTTGGGGTCAATGCAGATCAATCACAATTCTACAAAAGACATACCAGTAGGCCAGCTCCATGAATGTCAAGACTTTTATTTGAACTATCCAAAAATGAAGGAGTATTAATAGCAATTCAATTTAACTGGTAAAGTCATTTTCATTGGGGTTTTTTCTTTTCTTTTCTTTTTTAAAGTAGATTTGTTGGTTCACAGGAGCAATTGAAGCATACTTTTGTGACATTGACTAAAATGTTATTAAGGTGTTGACACACAGGATTCAAAATCATTTTCATGGGATGATTGAGTATCAGTAACAGAATCACAGGCACTACTCTCGGTTATAATATCAAAGCAGCATGGCTCATCAATATCAGATGCCTGTATACATGAATCTGCATCTTCAAAATCTACTCTGCCTTGAGGCATAGGCAGTGGATCTCCAATCAATGCACATTGAACAGAGCTATCACATACCACCTTCTCTCCTTTGGTCTTGGAGTCTGCAAATGTTTCTGTGGAAGTAGATGTTGACACAACAGAGGGTATTTTAGCCCGATCCTCTTCCTTGATAGCTACGGTTGAACTGATGGCATCTGTCTCGGATATGAGGTCCGTTTGCAAGCTACTTATCTCGCATGCAAAGTGTATGCTACTACCACATGAGCTCGTATTTTTTTCTGGTGACTTCTCTTGCAGCGAACTGGCAGCTGGATCTTCTGTTTGAGAAGAACTAATATCGCTACAGACAGTTACCACGGCCTCTTGTCCATGTCTACTCTTCATATCTGTGCTCTGGGCTTCATGTTCTTTTCCTCCGTCTTTAGGTCTGCTTACTAACTCAGTTTTCAACTTCGGTACTGGGGACGTGCCATCTTGGACTCCTTCTAAAGTGGCTTCAGTAGGTGATTTTGAGCATCTACCAGACAGCTTTTCCACAGTTCTTTCCTTACCACCTAAAAATACACAGTTTCTCTCGCCAACATCATCTGGAAATAAATGAATATGATATTAATATAAATATTGAATATCGGCATTGTCTTTATTCAGGTTTGCAAAATATTTTTATTGTTAATCATGATTTTGAAGACTTTTTTGTTGTGTCAAGTCCAAAAGTGTAATGAATTTGTACAAATACTTATACTAGTCTCTCAAGCCAGATAATATCCAATTTTTCAGAATGATCGAGCTGGAAAGTCCTCCAACTTTAAGCACTGCAAGACATAATGGAGACATTTAACTTTTGAATAGGTGTATCCTCTCATGAATATATTGCTGCAAATTACACTTGTTAAAATGCACAGGTACAACAAAAAAATAGTTTACTGAAAACATGATAAACAGACATTTTAGGAGAAGTTTAAGTTCTAAGTATAATTTTGTTATCCCAAATATCAGAAGTACAAGTGATTGACATGGCATTCCAAGCCAATCATCTACCTGTTTGTGCTGCCAGAGTCTCCTTGTGCAACTGTCTGTCTAATGCTAGAACCTACAAATGGAAAATATCAATTCATAAAAAGAAACATTGCATATGAAATAATGCAATGATATACAAAGGTAGAAGAATAGATGATGCAGGATATTTTATGTAGTGCTTTTGTGAATATTTTCTAACCCTCTCCAAAATATTAAAGAAACTGGATAATTAACCCCCACAAAAAAGTTACCAACAAATTAAATAATTTAATATCATTGTATAAAAAATTTTGAGATCTATCAAAATGGGCAACTGTTAATTTCCTGTAAGAGTTCAAATAATTGTAATCATTATATTATCATCATTTACATTCTATTTTCACTATCGTTTCCCCACAGTCAAATTTACCTCTTCTAACATTTGTTGAGCTGTAGCAGGAACATCCTTGATCAATCTATCATCGCCTCTGTCAGTTGATATCAGGGAGAACAATGTACATGTATTAAACCAATTAATTGTGCTTCTTGGGGGGGGGGGGTGAGGGGGGTGAGGGGGGGAGGGACATATTAAAATACAACATCTTAACATGCTTCGGAACTCATGTCTTTGATAAAGAGAAATAATATTGATTAACGTTTGATGGTTTCATTAAGCACCTCCTTACATTAATATATAGCTGTAATAAATAATGTTACTTTCATTGATACAAAATTAGTAGCTCTAACATGTAATCCTGATAGTGTGGAGCTTTGCACACAACAAAGTGGAATTAGCACCTTGAAAAGATATGTAGGTTACAGATAATACGAATTTAAAATACCAGTTGAAATGTTGGGAAATGTTCATTTGATTTAAAGGAAGAAGACTCACTGAAGATCTGTAGCTTTCCTTTCTGTGTCAGTCCTGTTCATCGACTCTGATACATCTGCTGAAGTAACACACATAACCAAAATGGACAAATTGTTGTCATGTGTTCAATGCACTGTATTTTTTATCTTATGTGATGAAAATTAGTATATACACTTTGCCTTTTATGTGTCAAGTATGATAAATGGTATTTATGAATGGATTAATCATTATGGAATAAATGCACTTGACTTCTAACCCCATAGAGAACTACCCTCTTGGAACAAGTAACCTTTTGGAACAAACCCTCTTAGACAACCACCCCAACATATAATAACTTTCCCCATAGGAATAATACCCAGGATTCAATGACTTCTAGCTGGTTTCTCCTTTAAACAGGGTTAATTGTTTTGGTGATCCTAGGAACAGCTGTCAGGATTAATTGACCTCAAAGTAGTCAATACTGATATACCCCAAACTGGCATTATTTTTTCTTTATAATTTGTTCGCAACAAATAATTTATGAAGTGCTTTAATGAATGATATGCTTACCATGAACAAAATCTAGCCAGTTGTTTATTGATGATGCATCAGTGTCTGGTACGAGATCAATGTCGGGTGATTCATCTGTGCTACTGCAACCAGTGCTTGAACTAGACTCTGCATCATCTTCATCATTGATATCACTGACAACGCTGTCATCACCATCAACATCAGTGGAAGGTCTGTTATCATGATCTTGATTGTCTGCCAGTGATGTCTCACCATTGTCCAGAATCTGTGCTAGCATTGGAGGGTTCTTGCTACATGGCTGGACCTGCATCATATCTATTTGTCTCTCAAATGCTGGAAGAATCTGCTTCGTCTCACTTGAGTACAGATTCATGATGTCAACCTGTTTGTCCTGATGATCTGGTATCTGCCCCCTTGTGAATTTCTTGACAGCAGCTCCATTTAGATGCATATTTTTCATTTGATCATGACCATCATTGCTGCTGTATGTGTTACTTGTTGGTTCTAGTGTACTGGCCTGTCTGCCGACAGCATTTTCGTCTTCCTCATCTACTTCAGAATTACGTGGATTAGGATACTGCCATGAAGTGTCTCTATGTAAATGATGTCTTTGACCAGCTTCCTCTAGACCTGGATGTTGCATGTAGTTATCAATCTATGGTGAAAACAAACAACAAGCAAAACCTATATACAGTTACTGGATCTTATATGTTAAGAGTTTCATACTTTCATGTAAGCTAAACTAGAGAAAAAACTTTGGTTTCTTTACATGGATGCATCCTGAAAAAATGAGACAAAACCGTATTAAAATGAGACAATTAGCTGTTATATTTATCTGGAGCTCTGACTTAGTCTCATTGTGACACTGCTGTCCACCTTTTTTTCAAGTTACTATTAAAAAGGGAAATCACATTTTGAACCCTGTAATTAATGCTAAGACAACTTGTAAGATAAGTTCATAAAAATCTTAGCCTGTTCTTTCATGAGGTATGCGCCACTATCTTCTCGAGATATGAAGCTAGTGCTCTCATAAAATGCAAAATCTTGTATGTTCATCTGGTTATTATGGGGAGGATAGAACAAATATACCTCTGTAATTACAGCTAAAAACAAATTAAACAAAATTAGTCTATACAGACCTTGGCCCGTTGGGTCATGAGGTATGTGCCACTATCTTCTGGAGATAAAAAGCTAGTACTCTCAAGACATTTCAAATCTCTCTGCTCCTTGATATCAGCATATTGATGAAACAATGACCTCTGCTGTGCATGCCCTGTGAACTGGTGATCCGTATTTCTCATTTGTTTCCTGCTCTTTGGTTGTTCCACAACTTGAACCATGTTTCTGACTTTGGGGGCATTCAGCTGATCTCTTAGGAAAGCAGGATCCATGGTGAAGGCTCTTGTTGAATTTTGAGTGTGGAATGTATTTGCTGGATGGATATCAGAAGAGATGTGTTCAGTGTGTGGCTGTTTCTCGACCTGACAGTCTTTTATCTTGCCTGTAATTGAATACTCTTCACTGGCGGTTGATGGGTGGATGATCCTGGTGGAATCGCCCATGCTGAAGCCTCCTGTAGGATACTCTATCTTGTGACAATCCTTAAAAGAACTTAGGGTAGAATCGGGAGCATTCACCATGGGTTCCTCTCCAGCCGTTTGTGATGTCCATCCTGATGTAGGCACATCACGAGACTGAAGTGACTCAGGAAATGATTGAGAAGAGACCTGTGAAGAGATCAGATGAAGCACAGGAAAACAATTTTTTTGTAAAGTCTCTGAGTAAGGAATGCAATATGTTTAATTAATGTATGTATGGTCACTTTGCTTACTGAAAGGAAGGAATGGTTATATTCTTTTTGAATCTTTTGTGAGGTTAAAGCTCTGTCAGGCTTAAGATAAAACAAATACAATTAGTTCATGTTTGCACAATTGCTTAAAATTAAGATATTGAAGACATTTTTCATGGAGATATCATATAACAATGGACTTAAATATTATTTAAGTCCATTGTTCTGTCTGCACTTTCAGGTCACTAACCTGATTAACCCCTACATCTCGATAGATGAAATCCTCGTCTTCTATTGAAGGAACAGTTGCATCATCTGTGTCTTCCATTATTGTAGATAGATCGGACCTGCATGGTAATGTGGATGGAGCCTTTTATAAGATACAAACATGAATATTGCCCTATTGAAAGGTAATGATTAATCCAGACGTAAACGTGAAAATTGGTCAATTCCACACCATATTTAGAGCTCAAGGGTGATCGAAAGATTACTCTAACAACTCATAATTTGCCATTATCCTGGCATCTTCTAACTGTTATCATGATGCAGATATTTGATTGAAAGATACTTCTGACGATTCAGATAAGATTTCATGCACCTGTATGATAAATTCACTTACCATGCACTAGTACTACTGCCTGGAGTTTTACCAGCCCAGTAGTCACTGTCTAGTGTGTCATCCATCATCCTTATCTGATTTCTCGAGCCATCAAGGAGGAGCTTCTCTGAAGAAGAAGGGCTGTGGAAAGGAGGCTCTTTCTTCACACCATCATGATCATCTCCTTGTCCGATAGAATGCTTGGAATCCAACAAAACATTGCGTCTGTTTGGCCTCTTTCTCTTGTGCCAAAAGTTTGCAGGAGTTGATGTCCAAATGTTAGACTGCTCCCTTTGGGAAGTAAGCTGCAATACACATTCAATATTAGAATATACATACAAATCGGTGTCATAGTTTATTGTACAGCTAATGGTCGTTCAATAGTATGACTTCCAACTTTCTAGCTTAACTGTCCTCTTGGCCAAAATTTCTGAAATAATAAATTTACCACTTTGCCTTTGACTCAAGAGGATTTATCATCATTATCATCATTTGGCATTTGGCGTCACCTGTGCCTGGGAGGCCAAAAGCAAATTGAATAACTATCCCTCCGGTCAATCCTTCTGGTTTAACTGATTAAAATAAACTATTACATAATTTGTGAGTACTTGTGTAGTATGCTAAATCAGTCTTAGTGCTATGGCATTCACAAGGCTAAATATTCTAAAAGACGGGAATTCTGAAGAAAATTACAGCCACATTTTTCTATGTTTACTTGCCAAATTAAACCATCACATATATCTTTATCTATTGAACAATGTGTTTTTTTATCTCTCAGTAATCAAGTCATCTCATGTAGCTATGTTTTAATTAATCATTTCAATTTTGTTTGTTTAAACATATGTCTTTGACATGCAAGAACAAGTGACTCACCATTTGAGAGAGATCTTGGCTACTGATGTCAGTTACAGAAGGTGACTTGTCCTCAGTAATAGTTGACAAGGGGTGTCTCCTTGATGTTGGATACAGTTTTGGACAAACCACACTTTCCTGAGGACTGGTAGAATTGAACACAGTAATTTGCATTATTATTTTCTTTTGGAGTGGCAGTTGATTTGCATTTGTCAAAGTACTGTACTATTTCAATAATCCATTCACAGCATGATTGCAAGAGGATGCAATGGTTTCGGGGTATTGAATGCATGACGAGAATGGCTCAAAATCATTAGGCAGCATGTGAATCTAACTTCATTCCATATTCTGATATCTTTGTTTTACTTTTCAGTTCATCTTGTGTAACAAAAAAAGAATCTGAATTTCAATCTGAAAACCATGTTAAAATCTTTATATAAGTGAGCAGTATGTTAATTGTCATAGCAAACATAAATTAGGACAAGCCATTGGTAAATGACTTGACTAAGCCAACTGGGTAGTGGGTATGCAAATATTTTGGAGAAAATTTGATGCAACCACCAGTGATAAGCGTTAAGTTCAGAGTATTAAAGCCTTGTCAGCTATCATCAGTAGATGTGAATACCTTGGTTTGCTAAGATCAAGAGCAGATGGCTTGGACTCTGGAGAGGCATCAGGAAGGTTAACAAACTTCTGTCTAAGTAATGCCTGAGACTTGTCAAGGTTAATGCGGTTGATACGGCCACTGCTTCTAATACCAGTACCTGTAATTGAAATTTAATTTATATCATGACAGTTTTTTGTTGTGTTAATTCTTTCTTCTATTATAAGGGATGGTATTGGCATAGAGTTTTCTTTGACATAGCACTGACAGGATTTTTTTTCTCCATTGACTGGATTGAGATTGTAGATCAAAAACTAAATATCACTGTCTACACCACAAATAGTAGCCTAATTTGGTGATCCTTAAGTCCTTAAAAATCAATGATAGTGCATGTTTAAATCTATAATAAATTGCAGGCATTTGAGAGGAAACTTTTATGTAGTTGTGCGACTGGTGTTCAATGCTCCTACTTTGTTCTTAGGTATATTATAAAACATAATTAAATACAATTTTGTGTTAATCTATTTTTTTTCTTCATCTTTTGACTTTCCTTTTACTTTCGCCAAACGTGTTCATGAAAGAGCTATAAATAAATAGGTTTCATGAACTCTTTCATTCCTAGCTTGATTTCTCTTCTTTTTTGTTGAAGCTCTTTACAACATGATCCATTAAGTCATACTTTATTGCAAACATACCATTTTTCTTATAGTGAGCAGCACTGAAGTTTGCTGCCTGTAATGAGAGAAGATCCAAACTGACGGCTTGTTTCCTCTTAGGTGGATTTGTTGTAGTCTCAAGTTTTCTCACCTTGCTTGTAAATTTCTGCTTCTCAAAGAAATCCTGTGGTAAATTGAAATTGCATTTTTGTTAAAGCATTAGCTCACAGATAATTTTTTTTAACCTAGGTCTATACAAAAATCTTTTTTGGATTTCAAGAATTGCCACACCAACTACATACCAACATGATTTTAAAAGATCTCTTGGTCTTTAAACTCTCAAATGGGAAATCACAAACCATTTCAGTTACTTGATTGCTACTCGAGTCTAACAAGTACAAAAATCAAGCTGATGAAAATGAAACATCTCACTGATGCAAATTGGTTTTATTCTCTACTCAGGAAGAAACATCTTTAAATTTATGTACATTTTGAATGTCGTCTCTTTTTTTACCAAACCATGTCTGTCACCTTAGCTTGATCTAGAGACGTACTAGATCTACCTGTGAGAAAGCAAAAGTTACCTGTTGTCGCTTCCTGTCATTCTTGACCTTTAACCGATTCCTATATTTAAAGAGAAAAATATTACAATAGTCAAATAGTCAAATAATTTACTAGACCTTTAGTCTTGTAGTACAGGGATTACAGATTCATCTTTCAACTTGTAATCTAAGACTAAGTTGAAGATTTATTACAAAATTATAGCCTAGCCCTAGGCTAGGCTAGTGCTAGACCGAAAGCTTCAGTCTCTATACCGTCGGTTGTTCCACTGAGACTACGTCTGGCTCCACTAGACCTCCGGTAGTGGAGCCAGACGTAGTCTCAGTGGAACAACCGACGGTATAGAGACTGAAGCTTTCGGTCTAGGCTAGTGCTAGGCCTAACTTTTACAGTTCTTCAAATTGCTCTTTTACATCAACTTTCCGTAAACAAAATAACAATTAACTTTGAGATTAATATTAGCGAAGCTGAGATTGTTCAGTCTCAAATTGTCAACGTTCTGCGTTCACAAGTGACTAATTAGGCTAACATAACAAAACGACACTCAGTAAATTATTCATTAGACATTCACGTTCACACTGTCAGTGTCAATATAAATTTTCTTACCGGACGCCACCCATCCAGTTCATTTTCCACTCTTCTCAAAATGGCACACACAAGTAGATCTATGAAACTTTTAATTAGAGCCTAGCTTGTAGATGATTAGATCCGTCTCTATGTTATACTGTCTATAGTCGCCCTAGTCTAATCTTTTTTTTTAGAATAAAATATTAATAGAGACGGGGAGATGGCATTACTCTGGCAACTCGACGTCGGTCGGCCATCTAGGATATCATCATGAAAATGAAAAATGTATTATCGATCACAATTTGTATCGACGATATCTCGCTAAAAAAGGAAAGATGTTGCATTGCCCTAAAATCCGACAGTAGATTTCAAGATTTTGGGGTCGGTCGCAAAGGGCAATACAACTTTTTTTTTAAAGGCCTAATAGCAATGTCAGTGGCCGTATTAGGAAGATCACCCCCCCCCCCCCCGGGCAATTACCACCCGAGGACAATTACAGGGGATCATAGGGGGTTCGGCGGTTTAAACTCTCCCCCCCCCCCCCTTGGGCGGCCAATGAAGAAAAAATGGGGGGGGGGGAAGAAAAAAGTAAAACAGTAAAACGACGTGATTTTTGGAAAATCCTGGATTCGCCACTGGGTGAAACCCTTGGCGTTATAAACACTGCACATACAGAGGAAAGTAAAATAGATTTCCCTGTCATCTCGAAGACTGAGATCCAAAGGCGAAATGCTCGAAATGCTCCTATACTGTTTTTAAACGCCCACTGTACTACTTGTAGCTACTTGCGCCCTCTATATAACAAACCATGCCTAATCGGTGACCATTGGTCCCCCATGATCCTCTTTTTCTTATGTTAAATGAGAGATGAGTTGATGAGATAACCAGCTGTCCAGTGACCTTGCAGGGCAGTCTAATCCCTCCTGTATACTATGGCAGATACGCTTTAAGAAACCCGGAATGTCTGTGAGACAGGTTCCCCCTTACACCTTGGGAAAATACTGATTATTTTGACTACCCCATCTGTTTTATGAAGTACAACATGTTTTAAAGGAAAGAAATTATGATTGATAGGACACTGAACAGGCCATAACCAGGATTTTTTTCAGTTTTAAACTTGCCAACAAGAGTTTTTGAAAACAAAAAACTCCTCATTATATACACCAGGGGCGGTGGCGGGGCACCAACAAAAAGGAGGCACCTCTCGTTACATGGTCCGAGATTATGCTTAAGCATTATACTTTGCAGCTGGGTGTGATGGTCTGGATATCTATTTGCGAGCAGGTGAAGCGAGCGAGCAAAATTGTTAAGAGGTCGCATTGTGAAAAATTGCATCTTATAAAGTGGGAAAAACCCAATCCTTATGGGGTTATAAGCACATTCTCATAACGGAAGACTGAACATACCTTTGATAAGTAAGACCACTGAGTTATCATATATTAACCTAAAATGCGAGCGAGCGTATAAAGCGAGCAAGCTTTGGATATAATTTATAATTGAACCAAAAGTTGCTTTTGGTCGCTTTAAATAAGGAGTACATTTTATAGTGAAAGAAAGGGGGCTGTCATATCCAAAGTTAACAGGACACTATTTAGAAAAGAAAAGGAGCACGTGTCAAGGTAAAAAATTGGGTTTATCAAAGGTTATGACGGGGCACTACTCGCACCTGATAAGGGGCACTCACCAAAGATGAAAAGGACACTCACTAGGAAGGTAAAGGGGGCTCAGGCCTCTCAAATTTTAATAAGGGCACTCATCGGAGATGAAAAGAGGCACTTAAAACTTTCAATATAAAAGGGACACCTCTCAGACTTCAAATGAGGCAATTAAAAGAGGTGAAGGGGCATTTATCAGAGCTTATTAAGAGGCACTTATGTGGAACGATTAGAAATTTTTAAAAAAAGGCACCTATCTCAAATAAAAGAGGGCATATTTCCTATGTAAAAAGGGGGACTTTAGAGGTACTTGAAAAAGTGTGGGCACTGTGCCTCAATGCCTCTAGGCTCCGCCGCTTCTGTTTTTATAGATTAAATCAAAGGTATAGGCCTATAATGTTAATCAACATCTTTTTAATGCAGGGAAGCGTCACAAATTACCATGACACAAGCTGATCGCCTTCAGATTGAAACTAATAACTTGAATCTTGATGTCAGTGAATTAGTACTCTCACGTTTTTTTGACACGATGAAAAGTTTATGAATATTCAGAATTTTATTTTTCTAATACATGCATGATTACTAATTAGTGACGACCATCTTTAAAAGTACCCCAAAGGTGCCCCTTTGATATAGAAAAAGGCCCCTATAACTTCGTAAGAAGTACACCTTTAAAGGAAAAGCACCCCTATTGATTTTCACCTATGATTAGTGCCCCTTTTATTTTGACACCTGCCCCTTTTCCTTCGACCAGCTCCCATTTACCTTTGCAATAAGTGCCTTTTTAAAATCTCTAGTAAGTGCCCCTTTTCAGGTACGAGAAGTGCCCCTTTTTACTTAAGATAAGACAAGTGCCCCCTTCACCTTTGATAGTTACCCTATTAAAATTTGAAAGGCGCCCCTTTTATTTTGACAAGTGCCCCTTTTCCTTTGTAAGGAATGCCCCTTCCTCTTTCTAACTCCGATAAGCGCACCTTTTATTTTTACAAGTGTCCCTTTCTCTTCCTAAAAAGTGCCCTTTTTCCTTATAATAAGTGCCCCATCAAAAAAAGAGCTCAGTCCCCTTTTCATAATTACCATCTTTTCATCTCTGATAAGTGCCCCGTTTATTATAACATGTGCCCCATTTTCTTTCTAATAAGAGGCCTTTCCCCCTACTCATTAAGGTCCCCTCAAGTCTGATCGATGTTCACTTTCTTTCAACAAATGCATATTTCCTTTATTACAAGTGCCTCTTTTTCATTCTCACAAGTAGGGCTACCCGTTTTCATATCTGGTCAGTGCCCCTTTTCGGGTGTGATAAGTGCCCCTTTTAACAATGATATGACCCATGCAGTGTCCCCTTTCCTTTCCAATAAGAGACCTATTCTCTTTACATGAATGACCCGATTCACCTCTTATAAATGCCCCTATCAAAATCTGATGGGTGCCCCATTTATATCGACAAATGCCCATTTATTCTCATAAGTGCTTTTTTCATCCCCGGTGAGTGGTGAGTGCCTCTTTTCAGGTGTTTAATTTGAAATATTATTCCAGTTTTATTACATAGAAATAGGTAAACAAGTATGACTGAATATTATATTGAAATGAGATTGGAAAAATTTCCAAGGCATTAAGAGAAAGAGATGCGACGAAATTTGCAACGATAGTCAAATTTGACCAATAGCCATTTATAACACCAAACAAAGAAGAAGGAATTCCCATAGACGTACATTGTATAAACTGATAAACTGCCGATTAATCTTGATATTATGCTGAAATGTAAAAAATCTGTCCATATTTATAATACTAGAAATCCTGATAATCATTTTATTGATAAATGTTCATCAACAAATTGTTTATGTACTTTTAGACACACTGGCCCCAAAATGTGGAATTCTCTCCCCAGAGATATCCTTGATTTTACATTATTTAACTCTTTTGTATCAAAAATTCAAAAATACTTCCATCTGTTTTTAAATCAATAACAATATATGCATTTTATAATACGTCTAATATCTTTTGTACACTGTTTGTTATTGTTATATATTTTATAGGCAATTTTTGGAACTTGTATGTATCTTTTAATAACAGGGACTGCCTCGACAGAACCTTTCAATCATTATTATTTGCAGTTCCCCAATTCATTTCTCTTGACTTCGTATAATTCCGGTATTTTGTAGACATGTTTCCATTTTGTGTGTGTTCTCTGTTTCCTATATTGTATATATTATATGGATTTAAATTGAAATTAAACTTGAAACTTGTATTAATTTACCCGGCCTCCCGGGCCCTCTCCCTCAGCCCCCCCCCCCCCCCCCCCCCTCTCTCTCTCTCTCTCTATTTTCTTCTCTATAGGCTTACTGTTTCTTCTCTCCCTTCCCCCCTCACCTATGTTTTAATCAGAGGGGAAGAATTTATTTGGACAAGGATGGGGTCATTACGTGGGTTTTGGCCATCGATGGGTGAGCCAGCAATGACCTCTACTCTACGAAAAAAGAAATAAATTCGTACAGATCAGTGGGTGGGGCACATCTTATATCAGGTGATCTAAACGTACGCAGTTTTGTGCTCGGTTTTGTGCATGATACGATGAACGCGCGCAACGCCCTTTCGTGCCGCGCGCCGATCGAACTCTAGCTCTCGCGCGCGATGCATCTTTTTCGCACATATAGATCACATGATAATTGATAGGGTAAAATTATACGTCGACGTGAACTAGACTCTACAGTAATTTGAAGAGAATTTGTGCTGAAATCCCTAAAAATGGCGAAAGTAATAGTGTTTGGACTTCTCTTCGGAGTCGTCATTCTTTCAGCTACTAGTGCATCTACTGTTCCTGTGGTGGCTTGGTCTAATACAAGGTGAGTAAAGATCGAGTGATGTGAGTTGAGAATGAGATTTGAATCGAGTAGACCTAGTACATGTTGTGCATGGTGGTTGTGCATTGTGCAGGGCCGGGATCGTCTCAGTCTCATGTCAGTCAGGGCCGGGCTCAGGCTCAGTAATTATGCAAATTGGAGCTCTAGACCTATGGCTTTGCCTGCGCACTTGGCACCTAACATTTCACTTGAAATTGACAAGAATTACACATCATATTCCCCTTATGCTTGATCTCATCTTACTCCTTATATTATTCTACCGAGTCATTTAACTTAATGTGCGCCAAAAATGTCAAAATTTGGGCAAGAACATTGATATTTTTAGAGCAACATAATTTTCATAAGAAAAGGCCACGGGTGCGGGTCGTTTTAAAATTGTAAAACACAGCCACAATATTAAACATCTCAACAGGGTTCCCGTATTCTCTTTCACTTTAAGCTTGTTCAGGATGTTTGAGATGAAAGATAGCATTTTATTTTTAAGGCTTGTGAGTTGTAGTCTAGACTCTAGATCTAAAGCCAGAGGAAATTCAGAAAAAGGTACTAAAAATTAGATGCTATTCTCGCTATTTTTACATTTTTTTTTAAATTAAAAGTGTATCGCTATAGAGATGGATATTTGTGTTGGTTTTAATACTCTCTGCTTCAGCCCATTTCGGCAATCTTTTTTTTTTCTATAAAGAAAGAGAGGTGAAGTTTAAAAGAAAAAGAATATGAAGATGACGAGCAGGAGTCAGGAAGACAAGAAGGAGACAAAGAAACGGAGGAGAGGGAGAAGAGAGGAAGAGCAAGGGATGTACATGTACATAGGTCTAAAGGAAGAAAAGTGCCATTTTACAAAGAACAAAGAAGATATAGAGTCTAGATCTATGTAAACCTGTCCTTTTGAAAAAATGCAAAACTGGCCTAGAACATGAGGAATGTATAATTTGTTTTGTTATAGCAGGAATTATTTGAAACAAACTTAAGAATATATCCCAAATCGATAAGATTTCTATTGGTTGAATAATGCACCACAAACTTACCCTAACCATGTTACATGTACTATTAGTTGGTCCAAAATATACGCTATTGATGGGGTATTCTGAAGTAATACCAAACATCGAAAAAATTGAAAACATTCAAGGTTTATTACATCTGTCCAGGTTATTTTGCACTCCCCATTGAGCCTTTATGGCATTTGTGGGCTTTACATGTATGCCATAGGCCTAATCAATATTGGTACTACATGTACATGTACATGGCCACAAACAGGTCCCATTCAAGCAACACAATAAGTAATTAAATAGATTCAAATTTGATTATCGATTTGGTCTTGGATAATTTCATAAGGTACAAATGCCCCCCTTCCCCCAATTTGTTTTTGTTTTTAACAAAACCTATTACCGGTAGTTAAATCAGTTCTAGGTAAATGGTTTTTGCATGTACTCCTTTCTTATATAAAAAAAAGGCTTTACTATTCATTTAATTATTTGCGTTTTGGATTACGCAAAGGTACATATTACCTTTTCCCTTTTTAATGCCTATTTGGTAGTTGTATACTCAGGACTATTTCATTCTGTCATATCAGTAAGGTTTAGAGGAAGTGATGATTGAAATCAAACAGGAAGCAAAAACCAACGGCCCGGTTTTGAAACTTGTCACTGACTCAATAGTAAAGTACATTTACAATGGTGTTGACATGGAAAATACATGAAATGGGTTATACATTTATTGGTTTTATCTGGTTATCTAACTTATGTGGACAGGTTCATCCATATCCATTCATGTATATTGCAAATGTATAAAATAAACAGCCCTTTTGTCTGTTGAGTAAGTAATGATACATGAATTGTTTTATAGTCTGTCCATTTCAAATCTTATGATCTAGCAGTGGATTTACATTTCAAAGAGATACAAGTTGAAAGAAATTCTCAATTGCTTGTTTTTTAATTCAGAGTTATAATGTTTTATATTCCACATACTAAGAATCTTGCTCTACGATTGGTCAAAAGTAAATCATGTGATAAAAGATACATGTAGTTTGCCCATTATTGATGGGAGAAGCAAAAAGTTTGCAACGCACTTTCAATTGAAGATAGAGGTACTATCTGCACAGGGCAACGCACTTTCACTGAAGATTATCCAAAAGCGCACTAAAACAGGCGTAATTAAGCGCGCATTACCAATGAGTGCAATTAAAGCAAACACATGCGCGCACCGTACCCTCAAGGGGTTGGGTTAATCTTTTAATTTTTTTGGTGTGAATTTGGGCCTGGTGTCTTTCATGTAGATGCATGCACGTCCTTTTATTTTTGTATTTAAATTGTTTTAGATGTGGAATATAAAGCAAATAATCACCTTTTGGTTTCAGGCGATGGCAAACTATCACTTCCTCGTCGATCAGAATGTATACGCTATCTTTCCTCAGCTTCGCTTCGGAAAGATAGCTACATCCAGATCGCCTCGGAAGTGATAGTTTGTCCCATCACCTTCACCAACGGTAGTTATTTGCTTACTATTATTAATCAAAAGTTACCACACATGTTCATCCAAATTTGAAAATACATGTAGCTTACAAACAGGCTAGCATCCTTTTTCTTTTTTCTTTCCATTCTGTTTGTTGGATAGTTGTTTTTTTTTTTTTTTTTTTATTCCTTCTATCAGTGTCTGTTTTGAATACTTTATTTTTTGGTTGTTAATACATGTAAGTCCTGTCTTTCACTGTTATTTACAGGAACCTGTTTGGCACCCGTCAGATTTCTGCTGGTGAAGAAATCAACAGAGCATCTCTGAAAAAGGACTTTGTAGACCAAGTTATAGGAGCAGACCGAGAACCTCAGACAATTATTGTTGTTTTGATGAACAAGGTACATGTAACAACGTTTCTTCCTAGTCTCTAACAGAAGAAACAGTATCCTTACTGATAAGTTTGATATAAATTATAACATTTTTCTCAAACTCCAAGATTTTGAAGTTTTCTCCACTTTCATTTTTTTATAGTTTTTTTAAAAACATCTTTCATAACAAAATACAAATTGGGAAATAATACTGTTTCTAAAACTTAACTTTTTCTTACCGGGTAACTTAAATTGCAAAATGTTGATATTGTGTATTCTGCAGTGTGGATTGCCTAAAAACATACATTTACATGAAATAGAATAGACCTGTGCAATACTCCAGTTTTCATGTCATCTTTTTTATATCAAGATATAGCAAATCATGTTGTATAATAATTGATGTGAAATGAGGCTAATAAGTAAAAGAACTTGTCTGATGTCTATTATTGATATTTTCCCCCATTCGTACATGCAGTTGAAGCTTGGTGATCTCACCCGATACAGCAATGCCTATGACTCAAACAACCAAGGAGGAATCATTCCTCACATCAAGGTAATTCACAGTCTCTTTGTGTTGTGAAGCGGTTTACTCTATTTAGTACGGTATATTATGGATGTTAAAAAATATATTATCCACAGACAGTTTTTTATTTATTATATATTTTGTACTTCAAACACTAATCAAAATGACTTTCCTTGCCTGATTTGGCCTTTAATTCAAATGCTGCAGTATTTCCTGGAAGAGAGATGTTATGGTGGTACGAGTCTGAATGGACATTGGTAATCTTGTGCTGTACTGTGCATATTTATGTACTTTTAAAATTCTTCAAGAATATCAAGCCTTTGAAATACATTTATACTTTCAACAGTGAATTAAAAATACCCGGTAATCAGTTATTGTCGTTGTTGTTTTCTGCATATATTCTTTATTTGATTCTTTTTCAATGATCTAGACCTCTATGGAAAGCTCTGCGTCAAGCCTGGTTCTTCCCCAGACAGACACATCTGACCTTCTCGATGACCTGATGTCAAAGGTCACAGGAGAAATCACAGAAATCAGCAACCCTGTTGATGTGAAATCTTTGGCCTTAGATTCTACAAAGACCAACCTTGTTATTGTCAGAGTTGAACCCAGGTTAGTTGTAGAAATTGTGCTCTAGTGCTTGATCTCCTTTACATAATACGAATCTAATGAAATACATTGTTCCCGGAAAAAGTTTCTGGCTTATTAAACGTTCTAGCCACCTTGTCACATGACATTTTTTAGGAGGCAAACTCTTGTATCTGGTTTGCTTTTGCAGCACAATCTCATTGCAGTCCTATCAATCATAGAGACTACCTGTGAAATAAAATGTGCTTTCACTATGTTTGATCAAACCTTGTGGTAGTATAGGAACACTCTGCTTTGGCATGATTTCAGCATATATGATGCACAAATTACACATGCATTCCAAGAAAGCCAGGCAAGGGGGAATTATTTTATTACACAAATAATACACAGCAGTGAGGGCATTAGTAAGAATTACCCACACAAGGTACCTTTGGAACAGTCTAACACGCCCGAGGCGATATGTGTATTGTTTTATAAGATGATGTTTTATTTGGTTTATAAAATGATGGTTTATAACATGATTTTACCAATGACTGGTCATTAGCACATACTCATGACCGGTCATTAGTAAAATTAAGTGTTAGGCAAAAGAAATGCCTGGTCACGTGTAAGCTCTCAACCAATCATTTGATTAGGTTCCGCTTCATCATCTTATGATGTTTACTGTTCAATTCTTGTAGTGATTCTGTGGAGGAACAGCTCAAGGGAGCCGATAAGTATGTCCAGATTCTCATGGATAGATTCAATGGAAAGACCACCTCATTCACACTCTTCTTCACTGCTGCACCAACATCCCAGGTAACAAATTTTTTTCTATATTGTTTCTGACTCTTATTTGTATGTACTTGTTTACAGATGTAATATTAAATCTGATTATTGCAATTTTAAAGGTGAAGAGGAATAGGTTACTATCAATGTATACAAATGATATCTACCAGTGTAGTCCACTGATCATGATGTAGACTTTCTTTCATGTTACCGTAATTCGGTGACTCTCCCTACTACTTTGCAAGTTCCACTCCTAGTTTTTGAGTATTTGAAGAACCATGCCTTCAATTTGTATGTATAAGTGATGGCCCATATCAATAATAATAATGGAGAATACATGGATTTATGGCTATATAGATTTATTAATAAATTAAGAATCCTTCTCTTAAAAGAAAAATACCCATTGCTCATTCCATGCTTGTGATGAGTCTCCTACAGGCTTGTACAGATCCACACTCTCAAGTAATCTATCCTATAATGGCTTCACCGTATATTAAACTTATCATTTCCCATGGTACTGTTCTTTACAGGACTCATCCCATGCTAGCGGACGTCGCCTACTCCAGACCGCTGAGGATGATAGTAAGTTTACATTCGTCAACTTCACCAAAGATGGTTGTGAGATGTACTTCTATGCTTCGGGCATCAGCGCTCAATATGTCAACGAAGATGGACAGAAGAATGCTAGCGTGCAGCTTCCTACCACAGGCTGGATGTCAACTGGATCAGAATGTGTGAACAACAAAACTATCACGTAATATAATCTCTCAATGATTTCTTCATGTGGATAGCAAGTAATATCATACCATACTAAAATTTAGTGTGTAACTAAATATGACATGTTCTACTTCGAAGAGCTCGGTTCCAAAAGGTACTACATGTACATCCATTTTTTATCAAAATAGATTTTTCTTTTTTTTCCCCTTGTTTTCCATTTGATGTACACACATTCAGTAACCTCATACACCGATACTTCAAAAAAGCTGAATTTCCCCAAAGAAGTTTTTAAAAATCAGGTCGGTTCTAGAGGTACTAAATCCATTCAAGTCATGCATACATTATGCAATATTTTTGGTTCCAAAAAGTCCTTCATCTAATTTTGGTTCCAAAAGATACTACATCCACTGAAATAAAAAAAAATTAAAAAGTTCATAAAAAATATTTGTGCAGATTAAGATTTTTTTAAAGAGTGGTTTTATACTTGTATCATACAAAAGTATAATCAGCCAAAGTATCATTCCAAACTGACATTGCTAACTATGATAATCAAAAAATCTTGTTTTTCTCATAATTTGGATTTATGGATGTAGTACCTTTCGGAACCAAGTACCTTTCGGAACCAAGCTCTTCATATGTGTAACATATAAGACAGTTTATAAGACAGTCGTTAAAGAGAAGGTTGAGTTCTGGGAAGAGGTGAAAATTAATTTGTGAGCGCTATCATTGTTATTATGCAAGTGTGGAAGAACATCAGATAAAAATGTTCCCTGAAATCCCAAGACCATGTTGCCACTTTGAAATTCCAATCAAACTTTAAGATTTATAAATCCAAAATCCTTTTCCCTGATATTTGTGCCTATGTCGCCAAAGGTAACTCAAGATCCATTAAGCATATTTTAACCAAACTCAGATCAAGTATGTATGAGCATGTTATTAAGGATGAACTGATTAGATTTTGGGCAGAAAATGTCAAAGGTCACAGGTTTGTGAAAGTGTTGAAAATGCCAGAAAATATCTCATTACCACAATAACTTGAAATGCATTAAAGCATAGACCTACTAAGTAAGTCAATGATTAAAGCAACTCCAATCGAACTTGGAAAAGTATAAAGGAGCATGCAAGGATGAACCGAGTATATTTTGGGTCATATACTCATTCATTTTGTTTTGAACAGTTTCACCTTGGGGATTTCTGATTTGGAAGGAGGAAATGGCACTGCCTGGATTGAGAGTGTAACTTTCAGGTGAGTTTGCAAACAGTTATATAAAGAATCCTCTTTAATTAGATGCTCTGTGTCGTAAACAAATACACTTTATTAACATGATACAAATATGCTGCTGACATAATTTTACACATTACAAAACGATGAGTTGTTAAGAATTTCATCAAATGTTTGGATTATTATGATACTGTTATATTGTAGATACTGAACAAGTCCTGTGAATGATCTCAAGAGAATTTTCTTTCTGAATCCCCCCCCCCCCTTTTTCTTTTTACATCAATAACATAATGCCAGTATATATGTTCATGTATATTCTCCAATCATATATTTTGCCACCAGCCCATTCAGTGTATAATATGAATACATTTTAATAATGCATTGCTGAGATATCATTCTTGCTATTCTATCTATGCCAGCCCAATATCACATATTCTTTAGTGAAGATAAGTAACAGATTAGAAATAGGTAAGTGATAGATTAGTGATACATAACATCATCTGAGCAGCAGCGAACAAATTTGATTGCCGCATTTGGGACTCTCCTTACATGGACTGCTGGTGTGAGCAGCCGTAAAATCTGTTGATACCTGAACTGGCTGTTGTTAGAAATTGTACGATACATGCATCCCCCCGCCCCCCTCAAAATAAAAAAAATGAAAAATATGAAAAGAAGGTAATCCGATAGATGTTATGTTGTGTAAGTAAGGTACATACATGTATATAATTTGAAAACCTTCCCCCCCCCCCCCATATTCTTATTGTTTTTTTTAGTCTGGAATTCAACACGACTGCGAGAAACTTCTGGTATGTAAGCACTGGTTCTATCACTGCTAAACTGACAGGGCAGGAGGAAACAACCCATCAGATCGATATGCAGGTGTTGGAGACTCCAGTAGGATGGTCCTATCACTGTGGTGATATTGTAATGGTAGCAATGGAGAACAAAAATGCAACCGAAAATGAATCCAAAGATATGGTCAATCTTATCTTCAAGGATTTTCAGGTGAATTTCTTTCATAATGTGTTTTTAGGGCACTATTGGTTGTTAGTGTTTTGTCTGTTTGGTTGCGTATTCAATTTGTAATTGGCGTTTGTGTGAGTCAGATTTCAAGGGAGTATATTTTTATGTTTTTCATCCGCGGGTCAATTGGAAATGAAAAAGAGAAAGAGAGAGAGAGAGAATGATATTTCCAACGTCTTCATTACTCTTTGAATACGGTAGAAACAAGTTTTCAGGGTTTGATCAGAAATAGATGCATTTTCCAGTCAGAATATCTCTTTTTATTTTCTTTGCAGCTCAAAACATAAGAAACTTAGTTTCTCAGTTGATACAAACCAATATGATTATTTTGCCACACATTCAGTTCTTGCTTTATAGAGTAAAAGCAATGCTTGAAAAGAACATGATATACCACATCATTCTCTAAAGTATAATGTCATTGCTTCCTTCAATTTTTAAATCAGACAATAAATTATTTTGAAATTATCTTGAATATAATAATGAACCCTGAGTCAGATTTCAAGGGAGTGTATTTTTGTATTTTCATCCGCGGGTCAAATTGGGTTTGATCAGAAAATGGATGCATTTTCCAGTCGGAATATCTCTTTTAATTTTCTTTGCAGCTCAAAACATAAGAAATTTAGTTTCTCAGTTGATACAAACCAATATGATTATTTTGCCACAAATTCAGTTCTTGCTTAGTGTAAAAGCAATGCTTGAAAAGAAGATGATTTACCACATCAATCTCAAAAGTATAATGTCATTGCTTCCTTCAATATAATAATGAACCCTGTCTAGTAATCCACAATATTGACATTTTTATCTTTGATGCAGATTCAACCGTTTGGGATCAAGAATAGCAAGTTTTCTCCCGCTAATGACTGCATAGGTTACTTCTCCCCCGCTATTTGGATGGGTATCCTGACAGCGTTAATGGTGATTGCCATCGTTGGCTTTGGTATCGGTATGATGTCTACTGTCAAGGTCATGGATAAGTTTGATGACCCCAAGGGTAAAATGCTCATGATCAATGTTCCAGAGTCTTAAGGTTACTCATACAGGTGCTTACTTGCTATAAAGGGATATGGTGTGTAGGTTATTAGATTCCATAATATGTGAATTTTACAATTTGGGAGTTATATTTGTGGTACTTTTGAGCATTCAAAATCGGTAGAAAAAATACTCATAAACGTGTATGTACGTTTAAATGTAAGTTGTATCAGACGATTTACTTATTTTTAAGTAAAAACATTTTGGTGAAGATGCCATTAGAGCGAGAAAAAAAATTGGCCGAAATTGAAGGAATTATAGAATTTGTGTTACCGGTACATGTTTTGTTGATGTGGGGGGAATTGAATACAGTTGAGTGGGTTGTATTGTAGTTATAAAGTATCTTTAGTTTTACTGGGAGTACCTGTACAATGATGATTTTAGGTGTATGTAATGATTATTAGTACTTGCATACATTCCCCATTTGTTATTACATGTACACCTCTGTTTAATGATTATTTAGAAAGGCACTGAAAACTCATTTCAGTAATCATCATCATGAATGGTTGACAAAATTTTAACATAGATATGCAACATTTTAAATGCATATCTACAATTTTATTTTAAGGTTCTCAATTTAATCAATTATTTGTCTCAAAGTTGTCAAATATTGAAAACAGAGTTAAAATATGTTATCAAACTTGTTTCACATTTAGTCTAATTTGATGTATTACAAGCAATGCAAGCTGTTATCTTCTTGGTTTTATTTACCTTGTAGTTAAAGTTTTGTCTAAATACCCATTTGACTTTCTTCTGTGATGTTCAACCAGTCTTCAATTTTGTCTACATAGTATATTAATCATGTATTGATGGTACATATCTTGAATTTATCATTGTGCAATCGTGAGAGATAAATAAAAATGAATGTTTCCAATTATGAAATTTGTGATGCCATCTAAACATTATACAGAATGTTTTGCTGTTGGAAGTTTGTGTGTGGGTACCAATTTTAATAACCCTGATACATTGTAGAAGCTTACCGCTAGCTTAAACTGATTTTCAGTGAGGAAAGTATAATTGACTAAGAATTATATGAAGCTCTGCACATGTGTATGAGATTATTGACACATATCCGATTTTCGATGAAAGTTTAAAATAACATTTATTAGAATATATGCAAATTGGTCCCTTTGCATATTTTGGGCTTGAGTTTGATGTTTTGTCTTTTAACTAGGGTGCTCGGCAAAATCGGATCGTGATTACCTGTAGTTCAGGATACAGGGACTATTGTCTTCTTCCAACTCCTGCGAGGATGGATTACACAAGGGTGCCAACACTAAACCTTTCAGACAAATACAAACGTCCATCAGTTGAACTAAGTAAATAAAATAGCCGACAAAGCCCATCAATGCCATGAGAGTGCAGTTTCAGTGAATAGATGCATGATAATAATTCATGGAGATTGAATGCCATGTGCACAAGCCATCAGAGTTATAAAAATATAAATATGAATTATACCATGAAAAGCAGCTCGGGCCAAGATGAAAATAGCTCTCAAATTTTTTTTTACAAATTTAGCTCCTTTTTTTTGGCTCGCTCTCATAAATTATTTTTGGGGTTAGTTCATGGTCTTTAAAACCAAGAAACTAGTTAACGTTGGTGGCATACTGAAACTTCACAAATTGCGAAAAAAAATCAATGTTCGTGATTCATTCTTCATTCGTGGAGTAGACAAACTGCAGGCAGTATTTATATGATGTGAAGCTTGTAAAAGAAAGTGACAGAAAAATAAAAATGAAAAAGTGCTTAGTATAGGCAGTGGTGCGGGAGAATGAGAAAAAGAAAGAGACAGACAGACAGAGGGATACTCATACAAACAGGAAAGTGAGAGAAAAAGAGAGAGAGGAGTATACATAGAAGGGAGAAAAGGAAAAAATAGATCTGGATGAGAAAGAAAGATAGAGATGGGGTACATGAACTACAATGTACTGAAAGTTTTAAAAAATAAACAGAAACTGTGGTTTACTTGCAATCAATCAGCTTTAATTCACAAACTCTTCACACCTAACAATAATTAATTAGCCAGTGATTCAGAAACATACAACAGTGAATAAATTAATTGCAATTTATGGTTATGGAAAGTGTAATGATACATTGCATTAAAAAAAGTAGAGTAATTCCAATCATTCTTGAGATAGTGACAAAATGTAAAGAAACATTCCTTTGCATTCTACTTGTGAGATTCGAAAGTGGTTCCAAAATATTAAAATAAATTCCTTTTCTTGGGTGAACAACATGTTTTCATTTATTGTAATGCTGTCGGTACTCCATTGTGCTTTTTGCAATCAAATAGCATTAGGAGTAGGATCTACCTTGCTTTATCAACTAAATTATCTTATACTATGTATAAGCTATAGAAGTATTAACAAAACTTTCCAAGCCATTCACATGGAAGTTTATTTGTTTCCAGCACTTTTCATCACTTTATTTCAGAGGAAAATCCTTAAACTGTATATTATTCTCTGTTAAGCTGATGGTGGAAGGACCCTGAAGACAGTCATATTTGGGACTATAAAACATGACAATAATACGGGCACACTTTTCAAAACTTTTACATTAAGACCCTCTCTTAACAGGCTTCTGATAAGCTTACAATTCAGTAAGTAGTGAATAACAAACTCGCATCAAGATACTATTGCTATAGAAACAAGAAAAGAAAATACACAATATTATGTTTATACGTACATGTGAGCACACACACAAATATCTGATCCGGTAAATAGTACATGAAACATGTCAACATGTATTGATTACATACATGTACTAGCATTCTATAGCTAATTTTTTATTTGTAATACTGATATCATGAGTTTGTTACTGACCAATGACACCTCAAAATATTCCATTGCTTGGTTTTAAAAGAAACATAAATATTAAGTATTAGTATTTGATTCTAGGAATACATATATACAATGTACCAAGCTTAAATGATGCATTTCATCTTCTTGGTAAATTACTGTCAGATTTTAAAAGTGTTTCCATATACATGTATACATCAATGACCTGAACAATTCACATGAATCTAATGCAAGAAGGGCATCCTGATGAAACATGCAATTCTCCTGCTTTCAATACATCATATTGCTAAAAGTTCAAATTAAAGTACATTAAAATTGCACACAAGAATGCATAGCTAAATTCATATACATGTGTAGGCTTTGAAAGTTATAAGATGATAATCTGTACACATTACTCCTTTTGTGTATCATAATTGAAATGATTAGTTTATCCTTGTACTTAATATGGAAAGGATACAGCTCTAAAACATATACTTAATATTTTTAATAGACAGTGAATCTCGATATCAGTTAAGTTTATTATCAATTTGTTAATTTACTTTCTTGTTTATCTCAAGGGGGGTGTTTCACAAAGATTCTAAGTCAAACTTAACTCTAAGTTGGACTTAGAAATTATGAAGAGCCATTTGTATCCTTAAAATAAAATATATTCAAAAGCAAAAATTCAAGTATTTTAGACGTTTTATAAATTCCCCATCAAGAACATAAAATCTCCCAAGATAATAGAAAATATGAATAATTTAAATCAAGATTTTGTGTCTTTTAAAATAATTTTTACAAAATATTTTCAATGATGCTAACGGCTTTCCATAATTTTTAAGTCCAACTCAAAGATAAGTTCAACTTAGGATCTTTGTGAAACACCCCCCAGGTGTATCATTAATACAAAAGAAAAGGGGAAAAACATGAAGATTTCAGTTATGTGCACATGATAATATACTACAGCAAACACGTGCTTTATATTTACTAAAAATTCAACATTTTCAACAGAAGAAAACAAAATCATTCTAGCAAAACTATAATACTAGAGCATCTTTAGCTCAAAACACGAATTTTACACAAGAACCCATTTTAAAATGGGGACTATTTGGTAGATTATTCTCAGTCTAATTTCCAGGAGAGTATTCCTTTGTTAGATTTACATCAACAACTCAATATCAACAAATTAAAGGAATTACACAAGCCTAAATAACTTCCTTATCAACCACAAGTACTGATTACTTTTTAAACAATTTCAAAAAACTGCTATACATATTCTTAATCAAACTTTTGATGAAACCAACTACCGGTAATGTAGTGGATTGACGTTGCACATACATTAATCTGTTAAATGAACAATTTTAAATCTACAAACATGTGGCTATATTTGTACACAAGGTGCAATTCAAATGTTAAGATGCTTTTTTTTTTTGGTTACCAACAAATAATTTGTTCCTTACCGGTTTAGTATATATTAATTATAGTTATTGAATGTATTATTATCTAAGTACAACTCTGTACAGCGCTTAGAAACATTGTAATAAGCGCTATATAAATATAATGTATTTATTTTATTTATTTTATTTATCTATATTTATGACTCCTTTTACTATGTTTGAATAAAGCCCCGTCTTAATCAATTTTTTTTTTATCTCACCCAAGCGACATGTGGATGAGAAACAGTGGGGGGTCTGATTGTAAAACACATGGTGAGCTTTTGGACACCGTCTTCATCAGCCATCCGCAAAAACCTCACCCAGCGATCAGCTGGCGCGCTGTGTACATGTATACATTTTTTCACGGCGATGACGTAATTTATCTCAATATTGTCCGGACGTTACCCCGATTGACGCGTCTTAATTGTAAGGGGGTAAATGTTGTCCGGACGTCACCGCAACTTTATTTTCCAATTAAGACGGGGTTTAAGAAAAGCAGATGACATGGTTCGTTATAATACTCCCTTTATGAATCACTAAAGGCTGATTTATAAACAATCATCTTCTCTGTTGAAACATCTCTATCTGCTAAAACTTCTACTATCATCGTTTAGAATTTATCTTACACAATTAAGTTACTCTATTACTTTTACCAGTAGTTGAAAATGAATAAATTATACTTTGGTGGCAATTTAAGAGCACAGATAACTTTGATACCCTGCATTCAAAGTTGGAATGTAGCAAGCACACTCAGGATTACGTAACAAAACAATAATCTTAAAACACTTTACTTTAAATATAGATCCAGAATACATCATCTCTACAGGACATGTAGCATGCTACAATTTGATCAGATTTCATGTACATTATGAATTCATACTGCAAGTGGTAAAATAATTGGACACTTGATACCTATGTCTGAGAAGAGTCGGTAGGGTAGTGAATCTATGACAAAGCTTACCAGTACATGCCCTCCTGGCTCGCTGCAAAATATAACTATCGGTATGTCTTAATATCATGAACTAATGACCTATCATTAATTTATATCCCTTCTATGAATATTCATGAGTATTCTAAATACATGATTGGTCAATTGGTGCTCGCATGATAAATTATAATTTCACTACCGAATAGCTTTCACTATTTTTCCTGGGCAGAACTGCACATGCTCTATTTAACATTTTTTTCCAAGGCACTACTGCGCATGCTCACTGTTCATTGACATAATTTGTGTCAAATTTGAACGTGCAGACGACCCGCTGAGCAAGTCCTTACAGAGACTGCTCATAACCTTGCCGCCTGCAGTATCGGCGTAAGTCAATGGTACTTTAGCCCTGCGCTCGATCCAGATTAGCTGGTAGCTGGTAGCTGGTAGCAGAATCATGCATAAAGCCTGTATAAAGCCAAGACTTACTTGACAAGCTGGATCTTCAGCCTAGCTGAATAGGTAGAACCATAATTTGTTTGCAAAATTTAAAATTAAAAATTATAGAGCAGCAGACTCACACAGCTTAACAATACAAATTTCAAATTTATCGATAGCAATAAACAATAAATTTGATCATACATAAAATTATATCGATAGTGTACAAATGATAATCAAGCTAATTCATCATCTTCCTAGTTTCTTTTGATTATCTTTCTAATCATAAAACATCAATAAATAATCCATCAATTGGCACTTTTTTTTCCCTCCAAAACATGTAAAACTTAATTTAAATAATTATAACTAAGTTATAATTTAATAAAAGATCATATATCATAACACATTCATAACATCTAATTTCCATCAGTTTCACACTATTTCAGACTCTCTCTCTCTACTACAATACTCAGTTGCTGTTTGAAGCTGCAGTTCACATAATATGTTCACTTGACCGTGTATTTTTATACTGGTCTTTCTCTCATCTTCTCTCTTTCCCTAACTTCCTATCATTTTTCCTTGCTCTCTCACTATTGACAACATATACTGCTAAATCTGACATGCATCTTCCTCCTTTCATTCAATCACAGCTACACTAATTTAAATTATCCACATTTGCATGAATTACTCTCATGATTGCATACAATTAAAGTGATACACAATATTATTATCAACATATTTTGTACAGATTATAATGTCTCTTTGTGTGTATCACAAGTGCTTTGGAAATTATCTATGACCCTGGCTTGAATTCGCATTCTTTAAATGCATGAATATAAAGTTGGGAGCAAAAATAGTATAATGTGGATCATTAAAAGTAAATGTACCGTAAGATAGAAGTTTCTAATATATGACCTGCTTGAGAAACTTCCTGTCTGTTAGCAATACCGAAATGAAAAAAGCTGAAAAAATTGATACACAAATTTTAAAGAGTTATTTCACTCTGTGCATTTTGTACTCTCTAGTCTTCTTCTTATTTCTGTTTCCCTTGTTCCTGAAGCAACTTTAAATCAATTTTATTTTATATGCTGAATAGTACGTTTAATAGGTGTGTAAAATGTGTAAAATGAAGGTGATAATACTTCACACCTTCCTCCATTCCTTAGTATCTACAAAGACTCTCCATCCCTTATGGCCTTGTTCATTTTTAGTCCGGGAATTTTGTTCAAAACAAATATAAAGCACCCTTAACCTAGACTTATACAAGCTCACTATACATACTGATCTAAATTCTATAAAATAGAAATTTAATAGCAGCTCATTTCATATGCTACTTTTGATGCCTGCTTTGCTCAAACTATTGCTTACATTTTGCTTGATCCCTTAATAAGGTGTCAAAACCGCTCAATCCTCATAGCACTGCGCAAAACTTCATTTACACTATGTAATGTCCTCTCTCTCTCTCTCTCTCTTTGTTCTGGCAAATCATGTAGACCGATTGATTGTCTTCTGTGCCTCCATCACTGGTCACTCTCGGCAGCTTCCGGTGCTCCATTCCTTGTTTCTCCTCCTCCTTCTCCCACAACCTCCTCCTCCTCGTCGCTCCCATTCTTCTTCTTATCTTTAGAGGGCACTGTCCTCTGCACCGAGTCTTCACCCAAGATCTCACACAGTTCATTGAGTCTCTCCTGCATGCCAGGGATACCAGAGAGTTGGGATTCAAGACGTTGCTTCTCTTCGTTCAGGCTGAGACGAGCCGCGGTGTCAAGTTCCTCCAACCGCCACTGACCGGTCCCGTCAAACTGGAGGAGATGGGTGTGGTATTTCCTGTGTACAAAAAGATTAAGAACCTTTATACATCATGCTTGTGTCATGGTCAGATTATCTCACTTTGTACATAAAAATATCAATGTAGATTAGATTGATTTTAAATTGATTTTTGTCTTACATTGATTAACCTAAAACTTAGCTTCAGGCCCTGTAGAGGACGACATTATGCCATGAATTTTTTTTTCATTACACAGCTTTCCAAAATGCACTACCGGTAAGCATCTAGAATTTTATCTGTGTTATTGAAACAAATAAATAGCTATAGAGTGTGCTCAAATCTACAGCTTGTATTTGATGACAGTCACAGGTGGGGTAAACAGCAAGTGACATTTTAAGCAAACATAACATTGAATTGTTCCGTAAAGAACATTAAAAATGGAGCAAAGATGAAATCAGTGACTGCATTCAAGATAAATCTTACCATAGTGACGGTCTGTGTGTGATCGTTAACATGATTATCCCAGCATCTTTTGCAGCTTGGAATATCTTGCCTTCAACATCAATGCTTACAGCACTAGTACACTCATCAAGAAGGGCAAACTGGGGCCTGTGTGGACAAAAATAGTACATCAAGGGCAACTCATTATCATTGTGTAACAGAACTCCTCTTCACTGTACAATTGTATATTTAGTTTAATAGGACATAACTGACTGAAACAGGGAAATGCACTGAATTAAACCATTGCCATTAGACATATGATTACAAATATGACTCTTCTGTCTCATGTTACAGTGCCATTATAAACAGAAAGTACTCTTGAAATATTACAATTCTATCAGTCACTTAGTAGTAGTTTAGTTTAGCTTCATTCCAAACCTTTTTTTGTAACAGAAGATTTTAATGTACCAGTATGTTTTAATTGCAACAAAATCCTGACTGTCCTGTAAGTGAGTCTATCAATGTAAACTGAGCTGGCTTATACTGGTACTGATATATAAAGATAAAAAATGGGTAGATCAATAGGTGAAAGAAGAGTTAGCCATTATCCTCTTTCAAATATCATGTACAGAGTAATCCTGACCTCACAGATTATACTGATCCCTTTATAGTATTAACAACTCTTCTTCTCATTACATTAGGCATCAATGGGAAGACTATAATAGGGTTCATATTAAGCAGCTAGTTCTGGTAAGCAAAAAGGACTAAGCAGCTCATTTTTAAGGCTCAGTGTCAATACAGTAATAAGCATTGACCAGTTATACAAAAAGGATTAAGATCATTGACCAGCAATGTCCCCCTTTGGATACACTAAACACCTACTATAATAAGTGTAGTGGGAATCCATTTTATAACTGTGCTACTTGGTATGCACATGCATATATTTAAAAATATATTAGTGTGTCTGTGGTTTTTTTTAATGATCAGCACTATTCCTCAATATCAGGATTCATACATCTGAGTACTTCATAGTGGAGTCTTGTATAGCACTCTTTGTCTGGCACATGGTCACTCCTGGTGCTCCATTATATTACACTGGCTTTAATAGCATAAAGCCTGTTCACTGCCTAAAGATTTGACAGAAATAAGTCCTACCCAGTTACCCATTTACCTCACCTCGGTGGAGTGTTGAAAATGTAGATAAATGTCTTCCAAAAGGGCATTAGTGCTGCAACAGGGATTTGAAATTGAATGAAGAACGTGTTAACGTTGATGGGAAAACCTATATTACTTACTTGTGATAGAAGAGCCTTGCCATGCCCATCCTTTGCTTCTCTCCCCCTGAGAATACATCCTTCCAATCGCTCACTGAGTCCCATCCTGAGTGACAAAAAATATCACAGTAAACATTAGTCCAGTACAATATATAATTACTCATTTGGTCAGGGGGTGTTTATTTTGGTTATAAGTAGCTACATGTATATCAATACCCCTCCAAATACACATTAATATTGTGACATTTTTGTCCCTTTTTTTATTAGTAACCAGCTTTTATGCCACTCACATATTTGTTCTATTTTGTTTACCTATATCTTTGATCCATTTTGTTCACCAATCATTGTAATGACAAACATGTATTTAAGAAATAAATCTGCTCTAAAGGATTTCATTTAACCGTGCCACTAACTTTCCTATAAATAGTGCCTATCTGAGAGCATACACACACAAATAGATTTACAAATGGGCAAAGATACAATGAGAAAAGGGGAGGCTGTAATGTTATACAAAATAAGTTGAAGATCAACAGATTTCTTTCAATATGCCGGTAAGTAATCAATTCTGAAAATCTCCAAACCCACACCATGATTAAACATTTCTGCAAATAATCTCAGTAGACCAAGCTGAATTCATCAACATCTATTCCCATTTAGTTGACAAATATTTTGAAAATCCACTCTCTGGAAACTGCTACCGGTCCACATACCTCCTTCTCTTGTCACAATGTACTGTAAGTTGACTATACCAAGGATGTTCTCTAGATCATCATCTGTCATCCCTTTCTTGGCCATCTCTTTCAAGGAATCTGGGTAGATGACCTGATCTCTCAATGTGCCAAGAGACATGTATGGTCTGAAGAAGAAAACCAATCATTCATAATGTTATGATTAATGGTGCAGGAAACAAATGAATGTTTCACATAGAAAATATGTGAACCTGCTGCAAAGTTATGTCAAAATGAGTTTATGAGTTCAGCAGACATATCGACTACAGCTGCTTTTTTTTGTTCTGCGGACTGAATTGTGATGATTTAAGACAGGAGAGTTGGATTCAGTGTAAAGGATCACTGTGCCAATACCATTAAAAGGAAAATTATGATTGTATCATCAGCTATTCTCTTACATTTTGATTTATATATGTAGAGGGCTCTGTTCTAAAATGTCTAGGAATGTACATGCCGTGTGATGGTATTATGACCATGTTAAATAACGTGTATAAGGGTTGAGGGTTAATGTTTGATAGCTTTAGACTGCACATTTGTGGTATCTATATACCATGTAATATGAACATGCCAAAACCCACGATTAATAATAATAAAAATATTAGTGTAAACTTATAGACCGCACACACCATCCAGGGACACTCATGCCGCTAGCTCAGCAACAGTTCTCTTTAAAGCCTGTCTGCACTAGTTTGGCCAGGGGGATTAGACCTCCCTGCAAGGTCACTGACAGGTGGTTATCTCATCAAATCAGATCTCTCTTTTAACATAAGAAAAAGGGGATCATTGGGGACCAACAGGCACCGATTAGGCATTGTTTGCTATATAGAGGTGCAAGTAGCTATAAATAGTGCAGGGGGCTTTATACATGTGCAAGTAAAGTAAATGTTTATTTGATAATAGAGTTTTCATTTGAGAGTCAGGTATAAACTGAGCAGTACCTTTGTGGTATGAAGACCATATGATGTGGATCTGGTTTGACTAGCTTGCCTCTGTAGACGGGCCAAAGACCACACAGGATCCTGAACAAAGAGCTCTTCCCGCAGCCATTGGGTCCAGTAATCAGAAGGTGCATACCTGGAGAAACCTTCACAAAGACAAAACATTCATTAGCATTTCATTAAAATTCAATTCAATTTTATTAAATTCCAATATCCACCAAGAGTACAAAATAAGGTAAAATCATAAAACAATATAAAGCAGATAACAATAAAAGAAAGAGCATTATTGGAATTGGGTGGCCATACAAAAAAAAGGGTATTGTATCTAGCATTTTGTAAATCTTCCATTTTCTTACTATATTCTTACATCAAAATTCCATTTACTGGTAAAGACACTTGCCACAAGTTTCAAGCAGGGTCGCTTGCTTACCGGTGGCTATTTCATCATACATTAGTCACTTATAGTAAATACCTAGAAGAAAAGTCAGTCCGGTCTATAAAAATCAATGTAACATTAAAAGTGACAACGGTCATATCTGTCTATTTAGACCGCCCAAGGGGAAAACAGGGAAACTGGCCACCAATTACAGGCGGTCTTTCTAGACAGGTTCTTCAACACATGTTTTTTCCTGTATAAGTGACCCCTATAGACAGGTGGCCTTTATAGAGAGGTGGCGGCAAGGACAGGTTTGACTGCATGTCACAATATTGAATTTGAACTTTGAATTTATCATTCAATAATAAACACATAACAAAAAGACAGGTTGTTTTTTAAGGCACAGTCTACTAGGAGACAATGTCAATAAAAACAAGTTAGTGGCAATACTCTTCTCATTATTACTGCTGATAGTCGGTCAGCTAGAATGTTAACGTTTTCAAAAATAATACTTTGAAAGCAGGTTGGTTTGAACTGTTTGATTTTACTTATTTTAATAGAACAAGTACGTATTAATAAGTTTCAAAGTCTGATAGACAGACTGGTTTTGAAGATAACACATGCCCTAGATCAGTTGAGGGTCAAGAGGACCCATTTATCACCTGAACACGTCAGACAGTCAAAATAACTTAAAGACAAAGACAAAGAGATATATATGATAAACTCACATCATGCATCTTCTTGCAAGTTTTACAAACTCATTTCAAATCCCTATCCCTAGTTTCCCAATGTTCCCTAAATGCCACATAACATTATAGTCTTAAAGATACACACAATGAAAAAATAAATGAATACCAGTAAATAAATACTGGGGTGTGTGAAGTTATGAACCAACGAGGCGGCATCACAGCTAAATCATTATACAATGCCACACTTACTTACCAAGGAAAGGTATGTATCTTGTCTGGAAGTATGTGATTTTCTCTGATTAGTGATTGCATACAGCAGAATGTAGTCTGTTCTAAACCAGCCAGAATATGTGCACAGCTCCCCTTTAAACATTAGTATGGAGCGTTTGTGCTCTGCGCAATGAATTCCTATACACTTCTTGGTGTGCCTGTCTACCTCGTCTCCACGGTACATACCTTTAATGACAAGCTTGAGATGACCTCATCTTGGTTCGGTGTGATGATAGGCAGATTCTCTGCTATGATCAACGCAGAGTCGGTCGTGGTAACCTCCCCTATACATAAATAAATGATTCATACAGTCAGTGTCGTGTCATGAATAATCTAACTAGTTTCAGTATGCCCTGCTTGGGAAGCCACATAAAAACCTTAGCACATCCCAGGGTTACATATTGACTGTTGAGAGCTGTTTTTGAAGGAAATGATAACACACTCACCTGTCTCTAAGCAGATTATGTCCTAAAAACTCTAATTGATAAAATTGTAGTTGTAGAAACAGTCGCAACCAAACCCTGAACCCGCTAAATCACAAAATCTAAATGACCAATCTGAAAATAACTGGTAGATTTAAATATTCAAGATTTTCTTTAGCACCATGACATTTACCATTGTGGCTATTTGATTTGAAACACTTCATAAAAGCTGGCAAAGACAGATATTCATTGATTGATGAATCAATTAGTTAATGTTGGAACCACTAAGAAAGAGCATAAAATATAAAATTATAAAATCACTTAAGTATTTTTCTTTAGGGGTATGCATTCAATTTGCTTAAGCTATCATCTTCTGATCTCTTCCTTGGTGATCTCTTATTAAACTGACCCCAACCCTCTCCCCCCTCAAAAAAAAAAAAAATACATGTATGTAAATGTATATTAAAAGACTGCTGCACAGGAACTAGATTTGATTCATAAAAGCTTAATATAAAAAATGTTGATTGTTTTAAATTCATAACGTCCTAATCCCTACCTCGTAGATCAGCTGATGAGGTTACTTCCTTGATTACTTTCTGACCTTTGACCTTTCCATTGTTGGATACAGTGTTCCTGACATAACGCCCTTTACTGACGTCCTCAAAGACTGTAAGCATGTCTGATACTCTGGCGCTGTAACCTGCCAACTCAGTCACCTGGAACAAGAATTTTTCGAAAAATGCTGATCATGAAAAGTAGCTTTTTTTTTTCTTTTCAGAGTACTACATGAAGATTACTATCCAAAATTTACAAACAAGTACATAAACAATGTTTAATAGCTAATAGTCATCAGCTAACAAATGCTTCGGAAACATCTTCCGAAGATAAAAATGGATTATCAAATGCAGATTAAATTGTAATACATGTTGATAGTATACATGTACATGCCCCCCCCCCCTCTCTTAAAGGGCAGTCCAGCCTTAAATTTTTAGAATTCCCTTGTAAAAATCTTGAAATTTGGGGAGTCCAGAATTACATGTAGATTTTGATTTTTGAGCACCCATGTGTCCCACGCACCTGCTACAGTGTATAGTGTTAAGCCCTGCTAAAGTTACGTAACTAGTACTAGCTAATGTTTGTTACTCCAATGTTATTACAGGTATAAAGCAGAGTGGTCAAATACATGTAAATTGCTAAAGTTTATCAGCTACCTACCTATGTACAACTGGGTTGAGAGCAGAAAATGTAAATCTCACAGAATAAATTTTAAATTAAGGACTGTGCTCTGTATGTACGTAAATGAATGTGATACATTAAAAATCACATATTTATTTAGCTATCGTTATATCTCACAGTTTGCCATTTTTACATATTTCTGTGTTTCATTTTAACATTACTGTATCTCATAAGAACACATGCACATCATGAGACAAGATAATGTGCAAGAATACACAACGAGGACAGTCACTGATCAAGGTCGCACAGCGTCTTGTACTGCTGCCTACATATTGTACATTAGTGCATAATAATGTGCACATGCACATTAATAGCATTGTGTTACATGTAATGTGTATTGTGCGCACAAGAGAAGTGCTTCATCCTTCGGAACTAATGTACTGTACATGTGATCTATCAATTCATTTCACTGATTCAAGCTTACCTACTAACATCCTGTGTTTGTTCCTAGTTTTATCATTTAATGCAGGTACCATACCTGTAATAGTTGATGCATGTAAGTAGGTAGGACTAATTAATATACATTAATTTTACCCACATGTACCTGTACACTTTACATTCATTGAAAATGATGAATTGATTTAATTTCCCACTATAGTGCTGGTGCCTGTTTGACCATTTTGATAATTTTCAATATTATTCCAGACAGAATTGTGTTGCACTAATAAATATATCATGGTCTCCAGATGGTCAACCATATTCAATCAATACTGATTAATATTCTATTTTATTCAGACACACCAGTTTACAGTACATATAGCTTAGACATATCAAAAAGAAAGATTTTGTTTTTAATGAGAGAAAAGAATTCAGATAAATGGGTAAATATTGTATGCCTAATGCTGTAGGTAGCAGACTATACCCATGTTAGTAGTGCTCTAAAGAGACCTTCAATTCTTAGGGCTTTAAGACACAAATAAATGGAGTGCTGGTTCAGTGACTACATGTTATCTATTATGGTAGCTTTAAAAAATCACCAATAGACCATATTATCACCCAATAGGTCATATTTCAATAGTCAGAATGTGAATCGCATACATTACATGTTGTTACATTGTAGGTAGGACTCGCCAAAATGTTTGTCCTAACTAGCGACAATAAATGATGCAATTTGCCTTCTGACGATTGAAATACAATTATTCATAACCAAATAAATTAAATAATTTGCACAAGGCACTTGACAAAGATGTGTGCATTAAATTTGATTACAAAACTGGCTTCTTACTTTTAGTTTCAAATCAATTAATCAAACACTTCATATGTGATTAATCAGATTGAAGACAATTGAGTGCTTGAGATAAACAAAGTCAGCTGACTTTGCTACAGAGTGAAAGAGGATCCTCCCCTTATGTTACTAGATTATTGCTGAGTTCTTGTACCGTGTTATTGGAAGGTTTTGAGCAATAAATCTACTTGAAACTTGAGACTTAAAGAGAGATAGAGAGAGAGAGAGAGAGCGCCCGCGCGGAGGTTGAGAATCTATAGGCCAACATGTGTACACACTACATATATGTATTTCTATCAATCAGATCCTTCCTTCCTTCTGAACCTTCTGAATTTGGAGTCAGCAGCGCGGTATTCCGCATGTCGCTAACTTGTAAAGCCTTTTAATTAGACCTACAAAGATGAATAGATTCTTAAAACATTTAAAACTGTGGTCTAGTTTGACCTTTATCAACAATGTGGTCTACATTTTACTCAGGACTAACGATCAAGTAATGTGTGTCAAGCTTACTGTATCTACATACATGTATCACCATGCAGGCCGATAGTTATACGCAGCATCTTTTATGTACGTCTACACACTCCCAACACACTAAGAGCAAGGGCCAGGTTTAACTATATGCCTCGTTAACATCTTCACAATCTCCTTAAATAGTTAAATTAAAATCACTGACAGAGATTTAAAATTTAGTAGCATCCTTCAATCATAATTACATAAAATGGGAAAATTCACCAAAACTAATGTGTGATGTTTTATTTAAATAGCTCTGCATGCAGTTGATTATTGCCAATTCAAACAATGAAGGTACCGGTAGATTTAAAAAAATACCCTTTGGCTGCATTTACACTACAAGCAAACATCATTGATTTTTCTCACATTCTAATGTTTCAACGGAAGTTGCTAAGCAACTATCGGTAAACAACGAAAAACCCAAATACAAAAACCTATCACTGGAGTGTAGTTTTCTTTAAGTCGGCAGAAATTTCACCAAAATGCTCCCTCTCAAAATATCAGTGAAGGTTTCTGATTTTGGGTCATGTGATTTTCCACGCTTCTGTTCTAATGTATGCAGGGCAGCAACAAGTGGTGCACGCGCACAACTCGATCACACACAAAAAAACAGAATTATCAAACAGCAGTTGTTTCTTATTGGGGTTTTTCAGTAGTCAGTGTACATGTAAATGGCAGTCAGAAAGGTCAATTGTTTTTAAAATTGGTTTCTGTGCTGTGTAAATGAGCCTATTGTATGTCTTTCATTATCTAATCTTCAATCCAGCTTACGGTATCTCAAGCACATAGCACAGTTGAAAACTAATCACAGTACAGGGGTAATTAGTTTGGTCTTAATCAACAGAGCCATACAGAATGAAATGTTGAGAGTTGAGAGTTGAGACCCATGCTAAGAATCATATCTACAAAATCCTTTATCACCAACACCTGCAAAATTATTTTACTAAAACATGTACATGCATGTACTTGGAATTGAAATTGATAGTAATTCAAAATTTGATTGTCAGCCTGAAAAAATAGTATTGAGTTGAAATTCACTACCTCTTGGATTGTACCACAGTGGCACTAGTGCCTGTTTACACTGCATCAAATTACTACTAGGTGCTGATAACAACTGCTGTACTTTGGGTTGATTTATCTTCTATCTCTTCATAGAGAGATCAAACATTTGGTGTACATCTACATGTACATGTAGGTATCTACAGTGCGTCCCAGAAAAAACGAAACCGAGAATTATCGATGTTTTATCATAACTTAATCACAATTATAACTAATAAATGATACATATTTGTAAAGCTTAGAGCCTCCTCTTTCATTTGATGTAACTCATATAATGCTTATTTCATGCATGAGTGATTAAAATGAATTTGAAGAGGGGAAACCAAAAAGTCATTTAGCGGATGGTATCTGAATTTCAAAGAGAAAACTACATTTCTAGAAAGTTGAGTTTATGCCCTTTCATATACAGTGTAACACCTCAATCAGGAAAAATGAGCAAGGAATGACAAAGTTCCGTTTGTTTAAAGTAATGCTTGCATTTCCATAATTTTATCAAACAAGTTTGTTTTCACTGGATGCCTGCAGTAGGAACAAGCAGAATTGACAAAAGACTGAACTCCGTTTCGTTGACAATCAGCCATGCATGAAGTCTTTCGTCTTTCGAAGGACTTCAAATTTGTTCTGCTTTCATACAAATCAACTTATTACAAGGGTTGGATTGCCCTTTAAAGGAGCTATTCACTTGACCTGATCAATGTGAAATGGTTATGTTGCGGACTCTTAAACGACCTTTGGTTCAATCCTGAATTACATGTATTATGTTTCACATAATGGTATTAGAAATAGGGGCCCAATGGGCCTATACATTATCTGATGGATATATTTTGTGTAAATACCTAATCAAAAACATCTTAATCTGAGCATTTGACCCTTAAAAGGTCAATACTGAGACTGCCCTCTATAGATTCAGCACAGTACGTCCAGATGTACCCATACAAAATATATTATTAATTTTAAAATGGAAATTTAGTAACAAAATTCCTGAAACAAAAAAATAATGATAGTAAAGCACACACACACACACTCACACATACACACAAAGTGATTCTACCCCTGACCAACGACTGCCCTGACTAAAGACCACAGATACTACATTCAGAATATGAGTTGAATAATGTTTCTTCCTACCTCTTTGTACGAAGACATGATTCTCTCAATGGCATCTGCTGCTGATGAGAGCAAACCTTTTGCTGTCGTGAATCCTTGAGTTCTTAAACTCACCTCCTCACTTTCACTCACTACCTCTCCATCTATGGAATGTAAAATTAATTTGAAATAAACATTGACTGAACTTAATTACACTACGGTATTCAAGTAACCCGTTATCATGATAGAATTACTGACCAGTAGATATTCTGTAAGACTTATGACAGAACACTCTCCACATGTATTGATAAAATCTTAAAATCTTAAAATATAAACAAATTAATAACAGCTCGACAAAACAAATGATAAATTGTATCCAATCAAAAAATAAGATTGCTAACTAAATCAGATAATAAAATTACCACCCATCGAAACGTAAAACATACTATAAGAAAAGCACATTAATAACACAGTACTTAGCAATAGTACCGGTATATGGCAGAAGATTAATTAAAGTAAAGAATAGATAAATTAACCAAGACTTAATTATATCATGTTTATCTCATTATCATATCATATAATTGCTTGGCTAATGTTGCAGCAATGTAAATACAATGTAATTTCTTGAGCCTGTCTATGAATGTACATTGTACATTGGACCAAGAAAACACAATTTTACATGACATTACTCACAGTGTCCTGTCAAAACTATATAAGGATTATCAAAGAGCAACAGTATATTCTGATCCACTTAAAGTGGATCATAATAAAATACACAACCTCAATAAGTCATAAATAAGCAAACCTGTCAAAAATAAATCAAGATTATCAAAGAGCAACATGTTTCTATGATGTACAGTGCCCAACTACCATCGGTGAAATCTTCAAATCGGGGGGGGGGAGGGTTGTAAGTACAGCTTATTTATCTATTTCAAATTTTACTTGGACTTGCTTGCCGATTCCTAATTGCTTACCCACTAGTGTAGGTCCTTCGGAAGTCATAATTGGTATAGCAACCATCATCATCCCAGAGGCTGACCACATGTACTTCATAAGAAACTGCTCTAGCATCACATACCACAAACGTTTCTTGAATATCAGGGTCATCTGACGCTTCAACGAGTGGTATTTCTGCAACAGATTTCTGTGCTCCACCTATAGGTGTGCACAATCAATAAAAGCTAAAAGGTAAAACTTCATTTATTAACAAATGCAGTTGGACATGAAAATGTTATGTGGTACGAAAATTGTGTGCAAATTCAATATTTACTCTTTAACAAGAAGAAAGTAGAGCCAATTATCAAAGAAGATGATCTACTTTATCATGAAAACAAGTATGGTAAATGTGTGATTCAGACTGATCACTTAGCTTGAGAAAGTCCACAGGAGTGGATGAAAGCTTGCAAAACAAATGTAAGGTTGGTAGAAGCCTAAAAACTACATGTTATCATTATCCCCAACTGATGAAAGTTTTCTGTATCAAGTATGGAAAACATTGTCATGTGGCATGAGGTAAACGTCTGAAGTCAGCTGTGTACCTACAGTGTACTATGTTTGTGATGTGTTTTGACTGTGCAAATATAAATCATGTACCTCGTGTCCATTGTAGAAAGCAATCTCCTCTGCATTAGTGATGATCCTGGAGTGAACGAATCTCAACTGTCCTTTACGATGTGCCTCCTCTGCTACCAACCTTCCAAACTTAGGGGATGCCATCCTTAGGATCTTAGCTGTCAAAATCAAGACTGATCCAGCTATGAGTCCAGGAACATTGGTACCTAAGCAAAGAAGAGAGAAATACATGTACCGTATATATATGCCAAAACAATTTTTTTAAACATAGCAAATTACTGATAGTTTGAGCTCAGTCCTTCTAATTGGGAAGGGACTGGCCCATTGCTTTGGATTTTATCTACAAATGAACTGTTAATTAAAAAATAATGAGCGGGTGGGGATGGAGGTGGGGGATTAGCCAGCTTTTTCTGAATGACCTAGTTGTGCTAATTGGTATCCCCGAAGATCGGTTTTGGAAAAAGGCTCCGGTATATTAAATTTCATGGAATAAATGTTTTTCAAAAATCCAACAATGTATAAACAAAATGTAATAAAAGTATGGTTCCATAAAGGACTTATCCAAACTCCAAAGTATATTTAACAGAGTTGAGTTGAACTGTTAGTGAAAATCTTTTAAGCATATAAGTCTATGTAGACTAATTACATTCAACAAATTAAAACTGAATATGCAATCATCATACAGGAAAGAGTTAAAAACTATATACTGTAGTATTTGCAAATGCATGGAGTAGATTGTCAAAAATGTCTATTAGAAAATTCACCAAAAAAGGTTTATTAGAAAATTAACCAAAAAAAGGACTTGTTCAGCGGTCCTTCTACTCCAGACTAAGGTCAAGAACCCACACACACACACACACGCATACACAAAGCATATAAAATATATATAGAGACTCATGCAGGCTATGTGAATTGATAAGTAAGAATACTTTGATAAATGATATTAGAAACATTATTTTAACAACAACTACATTTTGCAAATTTTACAAATGCAATATATAGTCTGGCAACGTTCGTGGACGATGCTTTGCATGTTAGTAGTAGATGCCCAGAAAACGTCACTCACAGGGGTTCAAAATAGCAACAACAAAAATCGCCTCGCCGCTATGCAGCTCTTGGACGATGCTCTGCATTTGGTCTACCCACCCCCCCCCCCTTAACAGAAACTAGATTCGCCCCTGTACATTAATCAACTTACACAGAAGCCCACATAGAATTTACTATGACTTATTTACCTGCATTGCCCTGTCTAGCAAGTCGAACAAGAGCAATGGTCATCAGCACTACATCCAGCAATGGCTTTGTCAGACTTGAATACAGATGAGCAACTGATTCACAGAATATTGTCACATCTTCAGTCAAATTCTGGTCTACATTGGCAATTCTGCTGTCCAAATTACCAACTCGATAGTAGGTCTGATTCTTGAAGTAGAGATTGTAGGAATGATCAACGAGTCTGGTACGAAATGCAAGAGAGAGACTTGACTCCAAGAAGCGTATTGTGCTATTGATGAAGGTAGCTGGAACAGCAAGGGCCAACCACTTCATGATTTGATAGATAAATCCTCTGAGATTAGTATCAACAATTGTTTTTTACCATTCCTCCTTCCAAATGAGCAACATAAATTGACAAGAAAGTTCTTGTCACTAAACTCACAGTGTGTAAAAACAGAATTCCAAATTCTTTGGTCCATATTCCTGGCAAGATAATGCGGAAAAGTTTCCTGAGGCGAATGTAAAAGTCTTTTCCTACTAATGTAGATGAGCTTGATGGATTCGCTGAATGTTGTGGACTGCTATTTTCTCCAGTTACCTCACCCTGTGCGTCCGAATTGTGTTGGCCATTATTTGTGCCAGTAGAGCCGGTTTTCTTTACCGGGTCGCGAGTGAGCAGGCCCCCGAGTCCAGAGCGGTGGAGAACACTAGCACCACTCTTTACCTGGTAGGCAACAAAGAGTGCAACTGCTACTCCTCCAATAACTTTGGGGTTCCTCAAATTCTTGTGGATGGATGCCCTGAGTAATTGCGACATGACGCCGATCTAATGATGAGCTCTTCGAGCAAAATTTCTAAAATAGATGTGAATTTTTCTTCACTTGTCAAGTCATTGCCTCTGTCACTTTGTTATCACCGGTATGCACACTAATAAGAGATGCTAGTTTATCGAAACCGTCATGCGCGGCATCAATAGAAATGTCTAGTGCTGAAAAAAGCGTATCGTGCTAAACTCATGTAAGGGTACTTATTGTTTGTCTGTCTGTAAAATGCCTGTCAATCACCGCTTTTTGCTCCCCATACTATTATGCCGCATTTTTGTTTGTTAATTTGTTTGTGCCTATCAACATATAATCAACCTAAACCTTGTCACATATTTTGTAATCAAAGGAGCCTTCCTTCTTGGCAAAGAAGGACCCTTTGAGGCTTTGACCATAAAACATGTTCATACCCCAAGTTAACAGAACAAGGAGGAGACGAAGAGAAAGAAGAAGAAGAAGAAGAAGAAATTCTGCACGAAAATCTTTTCTTTCAAAAGGATAATACGTCTGATATGTGTCCTAAATTTCAAAATAGGAGTGCCATACAGGATCTCCCCTTCAGCAACCATCGGTTGAACTTGTGCCGTCACGGTCAATTATTCCATTTATAATATAATAATAATTTTGTTTACCCAAAGAAGATTTCATACTGGCATCAATGCTGACTCCTGAGTGCCCTCCACCAATACTAGATCAATGGATATAAGACGGACTATGAACAATCGGGATTCACTCCTTTCATACACCTAACCGGGATCGTATCCATCTTTCTTCTGTTCATGCCGATACAAATTAAACTTTAATTCGGTGGCCAATCCTGAAGAATTTCATTATTCAGAATTTTTCAGGGTCCCACACCCACCTCAAGTATCTTGTCCAGAACATGAGAATAGTATGCATCATAAAAAAAACTCAAGTGCTATAAAGCCCTCCACCCTCCTCCCCCCCCCCCCCCCCTCCTGACATTCCGAAACGGCAGGGATGCTGACGTCAATTTTTGTTTGCACTGATTTAGTCCGAAGAAGGATTGAGTTATTAGGCTCGCTTACAACTCCTTGGTCTGGGCGCCCCTTTACTAGATGTTAAGTGTTTTAATGACACCCTTCTCTCCATCATAAAGTGCCTCCAAGGTAGATGCTCCAATATCATAATTTAAGGATACAAAATTCTCATTATGATTATTATATACTATATTCACACCAGGGGCGGATCTAGGGGGGGGGGGGTTAGAGGTTTAACCCCCCCCCCCCTTCGGCTGACAAAAAAAGAATGTCGGGGGCATTTTTTGTGTAGTGCTTTCTACCCCCCCCCCTCCCCCTCCCCCTCCCCCTGAAATATAGGTCTGCACTTTTTTTCAAATTTTGGGGGTCAAAATGGAGGGGAAAGGGAATGTAGTGCTCATTAATTTTACCCGTATTCGTTTTTTTTTATTTAAAGGAACATGGATCCGTGTTGGAAAATAGCTTACTCAGTTTTTAGTACATTTTACAACATTTTGGATACATTCTCTGGTCAGGGGGAGGTGCACGGAAAAAGGGGGAAAAGAAGGAGATTGGGGGGACCTTGCCTCCCAGCTGTTACCTACCCCCCCCCCCTCCCCCCCCCCCCCCCGTCAAAAAATAAGAGAGAATGAAGGAAAGGGAAAGAAAAAAGGAAAAGAGGAGATAAAGGGAAGGAAAAAAGAGGAAGAAGAAAAGAAAAGAAGGGGGATATCAGTTGTAATTTTCACGCCAACAAGTTGCCCTTGCCCCCCCCCCCCACCCCATCACACTTAAAACAGAGAGAAGAAAGGGAAGGGAAAGGAAAAGAGGAGAGAAAGGGAAAGAAAAAAAGAGGAAGAAGAAAGGTAGGGGGGATCAGTTGCGATTTTCCCCGCCAACAAGGTGAAGATCGGGGGAGGGGGGGGGGTACTGGCGTATTGATGGGGGAGGGGGCTTGGGGGAGACAGATGCCCTCAAATATAATTCAAAATTGGTTTATTTCTAATTCGATACCGGTGATTTACAAATGTTGCTAAAATGACAAAATTTTCCGAAATATTTCCTCAAACTAGTAAATTATACTTTTGTATGCGTTTGTTGGAAAATGGCAAATTCCTAAAGAAAGAAAGAATAGTATGCCTTTCTCACAAAATAATGAGGTGTCAAAATTTGCTCATCTGACCGTGAATAAATGCATAAAACCCCTGAGCTTCCCGGAGCTCTGCCCCATGGATTTCACCTAGGGGCCTAAGGCGGGAACCTGGATGCTCATCTGACGGTAATTCAATGCTTAAAACCCCTGAGCTTCTGGGGTCTCCGCCACCTGGACCTCACGCCAATTAGTAACCTGCCAGTGTCACAAATAAGGTATCAAAATATGCTCATCTTACCGTAATTTATTGCCTCAAACCCCTGAGCTTCCGGGGGCTCTGCCCCCTGGACCCCACGCCAATTCGTGACCTGCCAGTGTCACAAATAAGGTATCAAAATATGCTCATCTAACGGCAATTTAATGTATAAAACCCCTGAGCTTCTGGTAGCTCCGCCCCAGGGACCCCACACCATTTTGTGACCTGCCAGTGTTACAAATAAGGTATACAAATATGCTCATCTGACCGACCGTAATTTATTGCCTCAAACCCCTGAGCTTCCGGGGGCTCTGCCCCCTGGGCCCCACGCCAATTCGTGACCTGCCAGTGTCACAAATAAGGTATCAACATTATGCTCACCTGACCGTTAGTAAATGCCTATAGCCCCTGAACTTCTGGGGGCTCCACCCCTTGATCCCCCGCGGGGCTTCGCATCTAGACCCCCCCCCCCCCGCCAATTTACGCTACGCTCTACCTGATCTTAAGTACCACCCCACCCCCACCTCCACCCCCATCTACTTAGCGAAACGTTCAGCGGGGCCTGCATGTAAGAATGGGGTGATGCGGATTTTTTTGTTTGTTTACCCCCCCCCCCCTCCCCCCCCTCCCCCCCCCCTCCCCCCCCCCCCACAAAAAAAGACAAAACACGTTTTTGCTCATTTCGCCACTGCCGGTGTCACCATTACGTACCAATATTTTGCTCGCATACTTTCAAATTTGGCCCCCCCCCCCCTAAGAAATCCTGGATCCGCGCCTGGAGGGAGTGACATATCGAAAGAAGTGACCGAAGTCAAACATACTTAGATCATTATTGTTGCAACGAATAACAACTTCTTCTAAAACGTATTATGATGCGAGGAATTGTAAAAGTAATATTGGGATTCAAACCCCAATTGTTGTTTCTGAAAGTAATTTTCCAGTGAAAGACTTGATTGGGGCAAAAAATTGTGAATATTTAAAATTGAGATTATACTCGAATAAAGAAGTAGAATATAACTCTTAAAGCCCCTCTGTACTAGTTTGGCATGGTCTTAGGTGAATTATATGTCCATTTTGTTCTCCATTATGTACCTTGCACTCATATGACAATAGGCTTACTTCGAAGCATGCAAAACAGATTATTTTTCTTAGCACTGATCATAATTTATTCACCTGTTATATTTTTCCTATGAATTTGTTTAAGTCATACCATAAAATATTTATTTTTCCACCTCCATTACCCACTTCCGTTATCCCACCATCAATATTCTTTGATCTTAGGTGTATTATTTGTTATGAATGTACTATTTTTAAAGACTTTTTAATACTATTGTATTAATTAAATGGAGGTCACTGGCAGGTGGTTATCTCATCAAATCAGCTCTCAATTAACATAAGAACAAGGGCATCATGGGGGATCAACCGGTACCGCTTAGCCATTCTTGGCTGTATAGCGGGCGGAAGTAGATATAGGCCTACGTAGCGCAGAGGGGCTTAAAGCTAGTTAACTTGACCATGAGCTTTTAATTAATGTAGCGTCAATTTCCATCCTGTTTAGGTTTTTTGGCAACTTCTAGGAAAATTTCGAATTTTGTTTTTCTTTTTTTCTTTTTTCTTTCTTATGTCTGTTACATGTACTTTTCTCTAAGCGCCATGAGCACTAAAAGGTGGACCTGTGCGCTATACAAGTAGCCACTATTATTATTATTAGATTATTATAAACTATCACGCACATTCATATTTTTAATGATGATAAAAATATATGAGAATGGGATATCGAGGCAAAAAAAGTTCTATAGTACTTCCAGTATAAACATGTATTATTGTATAATCAATTTCGTATTGTGGTAATCATGGTTTTTAAACGTTTGACTTCCCCCGACTGTTTTAAGGTAAGCTTCTGTCCGTATTTTGAATATGAATCCACATTTTACGGTTTAAAGGTAAGGGTTCTTTGTATCGCTCCCCTTTCATCTCTACCTCTGTATGTCTCTCTCTCTCTCTCTCTCTCTCTCTCTCTCTCTCTCTCTCTCTCTCTCGCACACTCTCGCTTTCTCTGTCTCTCTATATGTCTCTCCCCTCCTCAGTTCTTCACTCTCCCTCTCCTTCTCCACCTCTTCTTTCCATCTCATCCCTCGCTCTATTCCTCCCTCTAAATGGCAAGATTATTTGAAAAGGATGTTATTGTCCGGAACGGTTAAAAAAAATTATAACGGATTTCGTTCAGATGGCAGTTGTACTGATGGTGCGAGTCATTGTCCAAACCTCAATGAGAAATACAATCAATCATTATGATTAATAACATCGTCTTCTCATGTTATGTATATTGTGAATATAATTGTGTTTTATTTTCAAAGGGATCATATTTTTGTTTGGAGTAAAGGGGATATCATAATGTCGATTATGTTTTAATAGTTAGATTTCTCTCTATATACAATGTCTGTATTCAATACTTACTTATCCTACTGGTAAGAGTTTTATTTTTCGTCACGCCACTTGGAGATCAAACGGTGTGCCTCTGAACGAATGAAACACGATAGTGCTTATATCATTTCGTTGCACTGGTCTTTTGATACTTTTAAATTTCAGAGTTATATCTTTCTGAGTCACTTTCTTTGAAATATTTATAAGATTAAGATATTTACTAATAATAAGGTATATACGCGTACTTTCCACTTAATACACATGGCTCATATTATTATCCCTCTCCATGATTCCAGTGCCCCTAGCTTCAGTGCTTGGGTCCATGCTACGCCACTGAATGCAAAGTAGAAAAATTATGACAAATAAACAGCGTTTTCTCCGTTAGGTTTCCTCTTTTTTTTTTGCATTGATCAAAGTACAAAGGGTATAGCTTACATATGGTAGAATATCACAATATCTACAAGAGTTTATAGCATTCACAATGTGTACAATCACAGTCATGAAAGATTTACATAATATAATCATGTTACATAACAATACCTATCTAGTTTACAGCCATACAATGACCGTGACAGAATTTTATAGATCTGAATAATATATATTTATATAGTTATATATATATTTGAACAATGGTACAATAAATATTTATCTATGTGACATCGATCATGTATATCTGTTCTCATATATTTGATTTCAAAGATAAATTTCGACTCCAGACAAATAAATTCGGGAAAGAGCACCATCTTATTAAGATTTTTTTCCGAATATTTGCTTGCCGAAAGAACAAAGTCTTAACACGTATTTCAGCACAATGCTCACATTATATTATATTGCAAAATAACAAAATTGAACCAATCATTAGAAATTCAGGAAACCGTATAACAACTCGATTGACTAAAAAAACACTGTTCCTCATCTCCACATTAATATCTAAATCCATTTTATCACTTTTCTAGAAAACACGTTACAAGCAATAAACACAGAAAAATACAATATTATGGAGGTGGTATGAGCTTTGTTTTTCTATCAAGTTCAATACACTTAGTGATCTACATAGGCAGACAAAGTTATAATCTTCTATAATCGTAACATTTCTCCATCATTTGTAACGCCGTCATTGTTCATATTGTGAACCAGACAAGAACTTAAACATTATCTAGAATACAATTGCACAATATCAAACAACAAAATTACAATTATCATAGTGTGACTGTACTATCACCTTGACAGAAACTCACAACACGACGATGTAGTAGGCTTATAGTCATGATAATGCATGTTTTCCTAATTTCCTGCTCTTCTTACACCACACTGAGAAGATATTGCCACCAGGCGAAAATAAAAATAAATGAATATTGTTTACTGAATATCATGAGAGGAAGGACAGGAAGCGTGAAAATGCATAAAGCACAGAAAATAAAACAAAATACAATTTCATCATCATCTAAAGTGATGGATACAATTTGTCCTAATCAAAGACACATCATTCAATTTGTTTCGATTCGAGCACTATAAGAGCCCACAAGAAGAGGCGCTATTCAAGCAGCCATGCATCATGATCATCATACAATAATGTAAATCTGAGAAAACGAAATTGGAAAGGAAAAGAGGACAAGATAAAAAAGAAAACAACAACGATGACGCAGAGGTATATGGTGGTACATAATTTATATATGCAAATAAACTCATTCATTTCGTTTTTATTTTACTGACTGATTGCATGCTGTTAATAGCAATAATACTAAAATAGGCACATCGGTATGATGGCAATATGACAAATATAATAAGATTTATTTTATTTTAGATACGCGGTGTTAAGAAATCTAGATTTTCTGTTTCCAATACAAGATGGCAGTAACTGCTACAGTTTAATACTGTCTGTCGAAAGACAGAAAAATAGCTTGAATATACCATCCTTTTTTTAATCCTTTTTTTAAAACAGACGAAAAAGAAGGGGAAAAAGACATCTTGACGACTTAAGTTCGAAAGAAGCATTGTAACGTACACCATGTTCTTAAATCTAACATTGCAAAACTCTCTCCACTTTACATCTAAATGTTTAATCATGTCACTCACAAAACTTAAAGAGCTTAGAAGACTGGTTGATGTGTAAAAAGTACCAAAATATGTTCTCATATACATGGACTTGAAGTGTAATTTGAACATTTGAAATAAACATACACAAAACAATTGTCAGCTATACCGACTGACCTCATAGAATCATCCTGTAAAAAACAATGAATATATGCATTTTCATTCAACTTACGTTTTGACTGTCAGAAATGTTTAATCATGCTAACTGACGTACAGCGAAATACAAAGATGGAAAAACATATATTTTCTATAAAGTCAATAGGTCACGCCTCCTTGTGTCACTGTGCATTGAGATATCAAAATTTCATGCATTTTTATTCATATATAACTAGGATTGTTTTGGGGAAATCACTTTGATAAAGGAACAAGGTTAATCGTTTTGTTAGCAAAGGCAGGTGACAAGTTGTAAAACAGTGTTCTGATTTTTAATCTTGCAAAACGGGCTGATTAATTCCTTCTTGAAAGAAGCAGTTCCAAAGTAAGGTAGAACTAACACAACAATAATGATGATGATAACATTAGTAAAAGGTGCTTTATGGTTATGACTTTGATGAAGGTCGAAATGTAACAAACTGACAAGAATGAGATGAATTATATGGCCTAATTTGAGCTCGCGACCGGACACCTTATTATACCACCTATCCTCAGTAATTTCGAAAAAGTAGGTGCCTAACATAACACGGCTTGGCTACTGGACAAATATTACAGTTAACCAGAGCACACTTGGATTTTAGAACATGCCAAAAGTCATGTACTATCATTATCATGTTTAGCACAATTTGATGTGATATAATTTATTGGTTGCTATCAATCTTTGAACGAACATTACCTTTTTATGAAGATAAATATAAATTTAATACCAAATTTCAAAACTGTAAAGTTGAAAATGTTACGAATCAAATAAACATGCAAAATGCCCAAAATTATGAACACAAATGAAATGCAGTATATTGCAATCGGCTGCCGCAAACGAAATCACCAATAGAGCAAAAGAAACAAGCACTGGGTGAAAAGGCTCGGGCAGCAGACGGCTAACATACCGCCTGCGTTCTGTAGTTGCTAGCTGGGTGCCGAGGTTGATAAGAGAAGCTTGTACCAGCCAACTACCTCACTCTGATCCAGTTTTAGATCATCCAACCAGATCAATGCCTCCCCGATCAAGGTATTCCGACCGAAGCGACCTCCAGCAGCCCACAAAGATACCTGAAGGGATACGCAGGAGAAAATAGAAGATCATAATCCCTTATTTCAATCAGAAATATCAGCATAAATTATGTGTTTAGAAAACGAGTCGTATAGAAGATATACATTTCATAGTTGTTATAGTATATTCCGGTTATTCATGAAAAGTGTCATACTGTATCGCTTTTAAAGAAACCAATTATTCCATTAGATATAGAAAAACTGAGGACTTTCCTTTCAATAATTCAACGCTTTAAGCCGTTAGACATCAAACTTGCTGTGGTCACGACAGTTGAAATCAGTTGAATAATTACCAATTCGTCATAACAGTTCTTCGTCATCTTGGGCATCATCAATACCTTTATTACCAACATCAATCCTACCACTGTAGACATCATCCTCATCATCTTACACTAAAATGTAATACTCACCTCAATAGCGATTCCCTTCACATCAGTATGGTAGACGAAGACCTCGTTGAAGGTAGGATCTTTTTCCTGCCGACAAACTCGAGTCTTCTTCTTCGTAATCTTCCTCTCTCCCATCACCACGTATGCCTTCACGTACAGATCTAGACAGGCGGTGATAGAAATAGAAACAATCATAAAAGTTATGTTGGTAAAGCCTTAGTCACAAATGCCATTACGAACTGCTACGAACGCCGACCGCCGTACTTACGATTTTCAGACAATGGAAATTCGGGAAGACAATGGAAAAACAGGGAGATTCGTACGAAATTATCGTTCGTACGAACCTTTGTGACCGTAGCATTATTTAACGTCTTACTTCGAAACCTTGGGCCACGGCGTTGAGTTGGAGGTCGCATAACCCGACCTTTGAGAAAACAGCCCCTTTATTCATGAAATCGCGAGGGGTAATGTTTGTGAAATAAACGCCTCTTATCTACAAAAAAGGGGCTTGTCTAATTCACCCGACACTTTGCGAAACCCTACGACAATTCTACGATAGGTCGTGTCATCTTCCGCTCTCGTTTCACAAAAGGATGTGTAATGCGACCACCCGACCGGACGCGACGACCCGATGATTTGAAGTAAGCCGATTTAACTATCTATAAAGATTAGCAATCTTGTTGCGATTGTACATCATTGACAGCTCTCGTGGAATTCACATAGTGTGATATATTAATTTGATGAGAACAAATAATGTGCATAGCTCTGAATTCACTGTCCTCTCTGACTTTCTTTTCGTGGAAATAACTGCAAAATTAATGTTGCACTTGTGTTATTCACTCTCCAACGTCAAGCAATGATCAATTTAGCAACTATTCAACACACTTCCTCTGGGCCTCAAAAAAATGTTGTATTGCCCTTAGCGACCGTTTTTTAAACCGTTTTTTTTTTAGAGGGAAAAAAGGGGAGAGAAAGAAAAAAGATTTCCGACCGATCCATGTTTTGGCACCTAAAGGGCAATACAACTTCTTTTTTTTAGACCCTGTATTTCTTGTTTGATTCTCTTGTCAACCTACCAGGATGATCCATGGGTTTGCCTTTATGTCTTATCTTTCTGCATTGAAAGATCTGGACGTAGAGGTTCTGTCCTTCTGTCTTCAGCTCACGACGGAATCCTATCTTCATCTCGCCCGATATCTCGTATTCTCCTGAAAAAAAAGAAAACATCGTACATCGTAACGTTTTGTTACTAAAATTGTCAACAAAGGTGGGACATTATTTTGTAAGCTATAGTATATCCTTGACAAGTTTTCACTTCGATTTAAAGGCTATAAATCAATGACCGGATCAGGTGAATGGTTCCATGATTTTGTCACGTCGATTGCTTTAAAATGAATATAATTATGATGATGACCACTTAGATGAATTAAACAGCTGTCCGCTTACCTCTTAAGAGAATGAGATCGACTTGTCCTGGAATTGAAACGAAGAAGAAAGTTATAGAGGGAGGTGAGATAACTGTATCTGCATGGAGACTTATATCAATGAAATTCATATTATCTTAATTCCATTATTAGCTATTAACTGTCTATCAAAGCAATACAACCTACAATAATGTCTAATAAGAACTCGCATTTTAGGTATCCACGACTATCACCCAACCTTGCGATTTCCAAATTTCGTAATTTTCCGCCGAATTAGTTCAAAAAATATCAAATAGTAGTATTATTATTATCAATATTATTTCAATAACAGTTATTTTCATTATCATTCGATTCGACTGTTTAAACCTGAGATATTGTGATTTTAATAAGCATTTTAAAAAACCCGACTTACTAGGCATTTCTGGATCGACCACTTGACCAGGCCCGAGATCACCTCGTGCCAACCTCGTCACCAGCGTTGCTTTCATTTGGCTCTTCATGGGTAGTTCTGAGACACTCTCTATCAGTGCCTGGTGTGGAGGTGGCGTCTTCTGCTTCTCTATCCATGGTGAATATCTGAGATAAGAAATGAAGAAGTTAATGTCTCTGTACATTTTCATACCAAGTATTACTTTCTCGTAATGGTACGAGGCTTCCAAAGCCTGTTATGTCATTATAATTCAAATAAGGGCAGAAACAAAGAAAATATTATACAACTGGAAACTAGAAGAGTAAAAGAGAACAGGAAGAAAGAAAGAGAGAGAGATGTAGCGAGACAGGGGAAAGAAAGAGAGAGAGAGATGTAGCGAGACGGGGGAAAGAATAACATTTGTGGTACATTTATCTTCCTTAAATAGTTAGTTGCGGTATAATAATTACTGTTCGCAGAATGCATGCAGCCTTGTTAAAAAACAAAAAAGACCATTCCGGCATTTATTTTTTCCTTACCTGTCTACTTCTGACGTCTTCTTGTGATTTTGTAGATTCTTCTCGGCAATATCTGGGCTATCTGTGTTGCCTATTTCAGCTACTGATTCTGAAATCGAAAATCAGGGAATCCATACTGATTACATCATGTACACACGCCTTTGAAGCAAAAAATTAAAATGGAAAAAGTAAAAAAAAACGATGGGTTAATTGACCTCAATACCGTAAACCGAAGAGACGATTCTCTATGACCGTTTCATTTTTCCCTTTCCAATATTATTCGTTGCATGAATGTGCAATCGGCAACATCTAACAAAAGATTAAAGACTGTAAATACATCAAGATAATGAATGTTCTGTTTACCTGCTCTTTTGCTACTAGATGGAAGTGATCGCGTCATCTCTAGATTACCAGTAGATCGATAGTGTGTTGATGACGTACCATTCTTGATCGGAGTAAGCTTTAGACTGTGACGATAAAAAAATAGGCATTGCAAATTAAAACAGAAATTTAATGCAATGCAAAACACAAAGATAAAACTAAACTGCAAGAACCACGCTAATATTTCTTGTTTGCCATTTAGTTCACCTAGGCCTCCCATTGGTCCGGCAAAGATATGGTTTGACCACAAAAAGTTGCAACAAAGGGTTTGTCAACGGTTTCTGGTAGTATTCGACCTCAGGAATAACATACTTAAAAGTATGCACAAACCGAAGGATCAGAAAGCTGTTATTCTCAAGATGGCCGCCAATACCTAGAAATGACCATAATTCACTCATCATCTATCGTCAAGACATAATTTTGGTGTCTATCCCATAATTTTGGGGGTCAGAGAATCCTTTGAGACAAGAAAGAATGGTTTGTGATGGTCCAAGAAACCCCCAAATTTAAGATGGCGTCCAAAATGGCCGCCATAACATAAAAATTAAAATAATAATAATAATAATATGACATATTTATATAGCGCTTGTGACAAAAGTTTCAGAGCGCTATACATGTACACAAATCAAAATTACTAATGGAATTAACATTACTCAAATTACCAAGAAAACAAAATATTACCAACATAACTTAACCAATTATCATTACTTAAATTAACAAGAAAATCACATATTTCTAACATAACTTAACAAATTGACATTACTTAAATTACCAAGAAGATCAAACATTACTATCATTACTAAAGAAATTAACAAAACATGTTATTTCCTTGGAAATTAACACATTATATCAGAAATAGCAATAATTTGAAAAGTCATAATGAAGGCATCGTAATATTTATTCGAACTTATTGCCACAAGTCACTTATTGTCCATCCGAGAGACATAATTGGGGTGTCTATGCTATGGTTTTCTGGGTCATAGAATCTATCAGGATAAGTAAGAACGTTAAGCAATGGTTCAGGAAACAACGGAATCCAATATGGCGTCCAAAGGGCTATTTATGGCTATTTTTTAGGTAAACGGCAGCCATCTTGGACGCCATCTTAGATTTTGGTGTTGCCTAGACCATCTAAAAACATTAAACTTTATTACATTAACATCTAACTTGTCTAAATGGATTCTCTGACCCCCAAACCATGGGATAGACACCAAAATTATGTCTCTAGGACGGATAATAAGTGATTTATGGCCATTTTTAGGTATCGGCGACCATCTTGAAAATAACAGCTTTTTTAACCATCGATGTTCGTATACTTTTAGTATGTTATTTCTGAGGTCGAATACTACTAGAAACTGTAGAAAAACCTTTTCTTTTTTGCAAATGGGGGGGGGGGGGTGGGTGTTTTTTTTACCATACATTGACTCGACTACATGGCCTCTTGCCTAAAGAGATGAAGATGATTTTCAATTAATCTGGATTTCATATATTGTACTATTACAGTAAATTTTGGAGACAACACAACGCAATGCAACCAAATATTCAATCAAGGAAATACTTTAAAAGTAACAACAACAAAAAATACAACCCCTCAAGCAGCTTTGGTAATGAATTCAGGCATATTTGTACCTATTGGTTTGCCCTGGATCACCGTGGATGATAGCTTCACGATGGTTCGTCCCTGTCTGCTCTTGGCTTGGTATCGGTCCTGATTTAGACAGCTGGCTCCCTGGAAACGAGGACAAAGAAAGATAAGATATAAAGACACACCATTGAGAAGAAATCTTAAGGCATATAATACACCACTGGTTTTACGTCTACAGCTCCAAAGCTTGAATAAAGGTTTTTAAAAGAGGGAAGACAACATATGAAATGTATGTAGCCTTATTGTGATACTCAACCCCTAATTGAAGGCTCGCATGTCAATTCTCCCTTTCTCTTTAATATATCCGAGATGTTCTTCTCTATGTAATATTAAGACATAAACGTATTTTCTAACTATTCGGACTGAGAAGAAATAAATAGGCTTGCTTTATTTGAAGCGCTATTTAAATTAGAATAGACAGTAAGAGGCTTGAAGTTCCAAATTCTTTACAATTGCTTAGTGGTTAATTGGGTTAGTACAAACGTGTATCAATCAGGTAGGATTATTCAAATCTAGGGACCGACCTTTAACATCACCATCCGAAATAAGTGACTCAGTCTCGGACCGGAGTCCGTCTGAGTCAGTTTATAGGCAAGGACAGAGAGCTGGCCGCACCAAGAACAATACCGTTTTTTTGAGCGGATATTTCGATCCTTTTCCTGTACATTTTTATTTTCAATCAACATTACAGGACAAGATCTAATCAACAAGGAGCATGTCGTACCTTGTGCTCTTAATGCTGGATCTGTGCTTGTATAGTTAAAGATGGAAAGAGGAGGAACCCTACTGCTAGCTTGCTGTCGCTCTGGCTCTCTCTCACCCTTCCCCTCGGTACATTCATCTACTCGTATTACAGGACGCTGCTCAAAGGAGGTCTTCGTTGCAATACCGTTACTATCTGATAGGGATGTGACAACCTAAAGGGAAACAAATTGTCATCGAATTTATTATGTTGTTTGCCGCATGTTACACTAATTATTGTAACATTTTATCCTTAATCAAATTGATGGCGTCAACAGAATAATGGAACAATAAAACAAGTATCAGATAGGCCTACTTCCATCTTGTGATTTGAAAGAATTGACGAAAATTACAGAAAATTATATATATAGCTGTTAACATAGCTGGGGCTTTTTAAATGTATCATACTCAGAAAATCAAAAGCATCAGAGCTTCTCTAAGTCCATCGTACTATTCTCGAGTTTAGGTAAATGAAATAAAAATCATTCTATACGATCGACATTCAATACATTATGACAGTAATGATATTAAAACATTTTAAAATATTATAGTTTTTTAATTAAATAACTTTAGTGGGCTTATGAGAAGTATTTCATAATCATACCCAACCTTTAAATGGCAATAAACAATAAATCATAAATTTATTTTCGAGGAAACAGTGCAATATTAAAAGAGTAAAAATATACCAAAAAATGACATACTCGAAGAGGACCTACCCTTCCGTTTCCATTGACAACCGACTGCATGCTACTGGTTCTCTGTCCTGCTAGACTACACATTGGTTTAGCTGTGACGGTTATCTTGACTGAGGTACTCACTGTAGTGGTTGGGGGCAGGGTCTCTACACTAGGGGCTTCTGGGATTGTTTCTGGTAAGGAGTTCATATCTACAGAAGAAGAGTGGTGGTCAAAGGTCAAAAAAGAGTTACATTCAAAACGATCCTATTTCCTTTCTCGATTTCTGTGGCAAAACATGAGTATTTGATACAATTACAACACTTTATTTGCCAACTGTGTTACATTTAAAGAAAAACAAGCTGAAAGTTATTCTACGTTGTTTGTCATGCAGGAGATTGGTTTCTTGGAACCCAAGGTCAGTTGATTCTATCAATCAATATTTTCCGATTTCACCACAACTGTCGTACTTTAGTCTTTTATATGTTTTTTAATAGATATAACACCTTTGCAAAAATCATGTATATGCTGATAATATTCATCTACGTATAATAACTATTATTAAGCATCAGCCTTTACATTTTTTTCAAATACTCATTTTAAACGATACGCGCTTCGTTGCTTGACAAATATGATCTGATGTTTACCTCGTTTATATCTGTCGTTCTCATGTGTACGACTGAAATGAACGTGGGATCTAGTTTGAGGTTGATTGGTGTCAAGTTTTTTAGTTCGATGGTGCTCTGTGAAGAAGAAGATAACATGATGGAAAGATTCAAGATTAGATTAGAATACATTACTAGCTAACTTAGTGTACAATAGCATACATACACAAAGCAACAATACCAGGAAACTGAAAATCTTGTACGATGCCTGAAAATGGCTATTTAAATGTTCGGATTGAGACAGAGTGTCCCACTTAATTCGTTCCATATGCCAGCTCAACTCAAAATCAATTCTAGACCAGGGACATCCTAACAAAATCATGTTTCCTTTACTTTTGTTCCTTTAAAAAAAATATATTTGAAGATACATCCATGCGAAGCCATTTTATTGGCCTTTCCCCCATCATAGGAACAGATTTTGACAGCGTCATTGTTTTCAAACACCTTCGATACTAATAATGTTAAGTGTTAGTTTACAAGCATATACAAAAACGGTACAATTATATTACACAGGCATGCTACGATAATAGAGAAGATATTGATATATGCTTACTTAAAAATTATATGCATAGAAAGAGATCGAGTCAATAAACCTTAAATATGATATAGTCGAAATTTTATATTGATAATATCATATTTTTATGTGAGTTTAATGAATATGGTTCCAAACTGGAATTTGGCAGATATTACTATTCCAGAAATAAACTTGCAGTACTGGATGATTTTTTTTAAAATGAATTTAAAGACAAACATTGTATCTGTATATAAAAGAAGAAGAACATAGTATTTGAAAACATGTACTACGAATATAGCAGAAATAATGATAACAGACAGACATGATGACTAGCGCTGCATGATGGTAGCATGGCGTCTTCTCTATGATGACATGGGATAAATGGAGTTAGAATACAAGGGAAACAGGTACCATTCAATGAAATGATAATAAACGTAAATATGTCAAGTAAACATAAGTCATGAAATAAACAGATAAATCTAACTTATATAAACTGAGGAAGGAGATTATACGTGGGACAAGGGGTTATACGGATGCACGAATAAAATTAGTGGCGTCTAAACCTTCTTCTTTCCCTACCTTTCCCGAATTTAGTTGTCTGTTTGGTCGACCGTCATGCTGCAGCAAGTGGAGGGGGAAAGGGGCATAGTTATCAGAGAGTTGGGTTAAATTAATGTTATATGTTCAAGGGAAAGCCATGCGTTCAGCACGGATCTATAGGGACTATCCAAACTAAAGCAATTTCAAAACAGCCGAACAACTAAAGACGATTATTAGACAGTGCAATGTCATTTCTCCGCATTTTGACGAACAGGGTTTTCTTTCATACGGGTCTGGAGCCGTTAACTTCGACTTTTCATGTTTTGAAATAATATAAATGTACATTGGTGAAGCTTGGTCAAATGTTAGGACGATCAATTATCACAATGTGATCTGTGACCGTGTGCAAGTGAAGCTCGTAAGCGAAGTGAAATGATTCTACTGAACTTCTTTGATTCACACTCACAGCATGTTTCACCAACAAAACAAACTCAAATAAATCATAAATCAAAATAATTCAAAAGAAATCTAAATGCTTATGGGTAGCAAAAACGTGCTAAATTCTATTAATAAAAAAGGCAAGCAAAAGTGATGATCGTCTATTGATGATTTAGGAATGGTGAGGTCTTCTTTCAATCAACGGTACCTTGCGTTGACGAAATCGAACGGTCACTCTGCGATGACCGATCGGTATCGTACTCATAGCCGGACGATCTTGAGCTAGGTGAATCTGACTCGGGGTGATGGTGGTGGTGGCCTGAGTAACGAGGGGGTCTATCATACCCGTTGCCACTACCGCCTCTCACATCTCGTCCCCGATCACCATTGCTAACGTCTCCTCGACTACCGGTCCGTCCGCCCATGTGGTTTCCACCGCCGCCGCCGCCTCTTGGATCAAAGGTATTACGATCAGCACTCGACCTTCTTGATCGTGGTTCCCCTCTGCTATCAGAAGACCTTTTGGGGTAAATGACCAAATTGGGGCTGTTAAAGGGGCCAAATAGTTGAAAAATGCAAACAAATTGAAATAGGAAAACTGAAACAACCATTTTTAATAATAATTACGTCTGCCTAAACGTAAGATGAGCAAAGATAAGTAACAATCGTAGTAGATACTTACGACGTTGACAAACTTTATATATCTATTTTCTTTGAAAGTGATTCACTTTCATTTACTAATTTCTCAAATTCAATTATTAAATCTTGTCATAATCATGAGTTTCATGCAACGTGATGCATCAGATGCCGGTTTATACATTTATATAGAGTACCGACAAATTATTGTTTTTCTAGTTCGTTTCGCTTATTTTGCAAACCTTTGATCATGATGAGCTCTTCTACCCCCTTGTCTACTCCCTGGTGAAGATGATGGCGGTGTCATCACAGTAGAGTTCCCTGGTACCTGGCCACCTTGCATTGGTACATCCAGCAATCGGTACCAACGAGGACGGTTTGTCAGTAGACGCTCGTCAGAGAGATCCAAGATTACCTAGCAAGATATTGGTATCAAAACGATCATTGATCAGTTAAAGTTAAAGTCGTACTTTGGCTTATGGAAGGAAGTATCACCCCATTTAATCTCAACCCCTCCCACTCCGTCCAATATTTCTTTCACAATTTCTAACAACTACAGAAAGGATCAAAACAATTTGTCTCGAGGAGGCGCGATAGCTCAGTCGGTAGAGCAGTGGTCTCGTAATCCGGTGACCCGGGTTCGAAACCAAGTCGATGTGCTAGTGCCCTTTAATTGGTAAGGCATTAATCCTCATTACCAGGTCCCTCGGAGAGGACTTAAAGCCGTTGGTCTTCTGCTTGCTTACTAACAAGCATTTATTGCTTTCTTAGTTATCTGGTAAAATAACCTCCACCACTATTAAGTTCATAATGTCCCTTTGATGATTACATTAAAAATTACTTTGAGGGGATGATATGAAAATTAAGTACTAAAAATGTATTTTTTCTATTTTTATTTCATGATTATAAGTGACTCACCTGTCCCATAAATTCACTAGTGGAACTTCTGTCGTAGTCCCATACATTGACCTCGATGGTTCTGGATCTAATCTGACTGTGTCTTAGGTTACGGAATATGATAGATTGATTCCATTCTGGCGTGAGTGTTCTAGGCACGTAACGAGATCTTTGTCTGTCTTCTGGACTGCTTTGATTATTAAAAAAAGAACATACATGTCGAATCAGTTGTGTATGTTTCATTGGGTAACGACCGTAATCTTGGGATGTGGAAGCTGACATGAAGTGTATTATCTAACATTGTTTTTGTGTTTAATTCTGTAACTTACATTTTAATCATCAACACACATCATCATCCTTATAATTCACATATGTTTCTCATTATTTGTCCATTCTGCTTAATAAATTGCTCATCTGTTTCATAGCATTCGTTTGGGGCTGTCATATTTTCAAGCACTTTGCTTACAATAACGGTCCTTCCTACAATTCTTTAAAATAAAGTTGGACGAAATATGATACTTTGCCAATTCATCTTTTTTTTTTCTTCTTCTATAATAATTGTTATGTATATATGCTTATTTATGATTCATTGTCAGAAAATATTTGTTTTTAGTTATTGTTTACAGGTATGTTTGTTATGTTACCGAAAATTGTTTATATTCATATGGAATGCAGAAGAAAATAAATAGATTCAAATGAAAATATAAGATAAACAAAGAAAATAAATTATTAATAATCAGTTGCTGGAGAAGTATGTCTTTCACATAAATTCCCCTCTCTCCCAGTGTACTGTGTTAATTTATTACATATATTTCCAAGTTTCTCTTAATCTCTTTTCCTATATTTCCTCTCCGTTGTTCTTTCTTTCTTTCGATCCGGGTTTTCGATAAACTTACCCCCTTGAGGGTAGTAGGCACACACTGACGTAAGGGTCTGCTAGATTGGTCGAATCTCGAGCTGTCAAGCCACGCCCTCTTAAAATACCAACCAATAGCTCTGTGCGATGGTTGTCGTAGGCAACTTGAAGCTGTGGAAAATATTACCAAAGTGTCATTTTAGAAATATAAAAAGCATACAAAAGTACAGATACTGATTAAAACTTACGATGTAATTCTCGTCAACATCCCTGCTTGTTGGTAGAACTAATTAATTGCGTTTTTTCAGAGACCAAATAAAGACCAAATAAGGCTGTCATATTAGACAGTTTATCGCCTCAACGCTAAAATGACATTACAGCCATCGACATAACATGGCGTTGGTTTCCCATCTTACAGTGTTTTAATGATTGGTAAGCCAGTGCCTAACATACATTCTAACATTTGCATCCAGTTTTCAACTAGAAAATAGCGTATGAATATGTCGGGCAATGTTTACTTACTTGGATCTCTCCAGTGACTTTCCTTCCTCTCCCTCTTCTCTATATCACGCAAACAAAATAAAGAAGACATTACACCATCAGCTTCTCAATATCTTTATTCTAAATTATTTATTTCATCACATCAGTGGAAGATATACCTAGCGCATAGATTCAAAAGTGCATGACGCGTTCGTAATTACATATAAATATGTGTCGAACGCACGATTGCCTTTGAGTTTGTCTAGTGTAAGTATGATTACGAAGTTGGGTAACTAAACCTATACAAAGTAGTCATGATTGTATGTTTAAAGTACATTTTCATTGATTAAAGAATGGAATTAGTCTGGATGATAGATGTGTGATTCGTCATCCCTCTAACTCTTATTTCACTTTAACAGTGGACACGGAGAATGTTAGGAACTAACAACAACAGAAATAACAACAATGCGGCACTAATGTATTTTGGAAAGATATTAATCTGAATTTGCCACACTCCGACCCAGGTTAGGTAAATGGGTACCATGCCCGATAGGAGAAAAATCCTCGAAGGCTTGAGCGCCTTTTCATGGTAGCTCGGCATAAGCCGGCCCGTGGTAGTGATATGATTGCAGGGCCCTCAGGGAAAACAGTATGAATACTGATGAGGCTACCCTGCATATTTTTATTATCAGTATTATCATCCACCACTGTTTGAGAAATTCGACTTAGCTAGTCATTGGTATTCGCTCACTTTCATTGTGATGATAATTGGTTGGACATATATACCTGACATCCTAATAACCATGGTAACGTTGGGAGCACGGGCACTTACATGTGATGAGTAGCTGCTATCTGAAGGCGAGACCGAGCTAGGACCGTAAGATGGATAAGTGATGCCTTCTAGTCTCTCAGTCAGCATCCTAGGATCTACTCCTCCTCCTTATAAAATGATTCGATACAAAAGGACACTGTTTCATATCTTAGTTCCCGACATTAATTTTGTAGCACATAATCTTCAATTGTTGAATAGTTTTACACTAATTCCTTCTCTATTTAGTCTATAGTTGGCTCGCTTTCCTACTGATTCTTGTATTGCATTCGTTTATCACACATAACGTTACTGTGAATACATAGATAACTGACAGAGGCAGTTGGTTAGTTACCATATTCACCCCTCCTATATCCACCTGGTGGTATAGGGGGAGGTGGAGGTGGCGGTGGTGGTGGTGGTTCTCCGTTAGGCAGTCGAGCGCGTGGTCTCGGTGAATCAAGCAAATTTGGACCGCTGAGAAAATAAATGAAAGAAAATTGTAGAATATTATTTTTAAAGTATATTTATGTATTTGAATAAAAATGAATGCAGACGGAGTTCAGTGCATTCATTAGGAATATTCCCGCAATTACAGAGTTAGGATGTATTTTTTCATTACTGCCATGGCAATCAAAATACATACTTACAGCAAACACTTGAGCAAATTAAAACATGAATTACCATTTTAATAGCACTTCAGTTTGCTTCTCCGACGATTTCACGATGCGTTGAACCTCTTCATAGGTACGCCCTGTCAGTGAGATGCCACACCAATCCAACACCTGATCCCCTTCTCGTAGACCTAAAATATTGACAAGAATAATGAAACAAGACGAAACGGGTATATAGTTTGATCTTAAATACATTTTTGAGGAACTTTCTGAGTAGAGTTATGTCACAACATTACTTTAATGAATAATAACATCTCCCTGAAGATCTAACGTTCTGGATTATTTTATTCTGTTTACTTAAATTGCTTATACATTAATGAGTGAAAACCGTAAATATACGTGAATAATCAAATAACTTTAATTTGTTTTGGCGTCGAAAACACATCCTCCACTTTTGGGATTTTCGCCTTCTATTTCGAATGGCTTACTGTATTTATCATCATGTTCTAAGAATCCCCAGCTTTTTCAGGAGGGAATCGAAATGATCATGTTCATTTATGTGTACTGTTGGAGTATGATCGCAATCTCATCGGTATCAATTCTTTTCCTACCCTCTGTTTTCTCTGCTACTCCACCACGATGAATTTCCGCTACATAGGCAACCAGCTGATCACTACCCGGCATCCGTTTACCGCCTACCACTCTCATACCAAGTCCATTACCGCGGTTAGTCCGGTCACGAGGGTCTCTCTCAAGGCGGTACTTCCGACCAACACTAGCTTGCGGAGAAGGCTCCTACGTATTGAAATCCAAAAACCATGCCGATATTTGAACAAAGAAATTAAAATCGTAATGGCAGATAAAAGATTGAACAGAAGCTGGAACATTCATAACAAGTGCTTTAAGATATTGGAAAGAAGCAAAGATTATTTCAAGCCGACTATTAACGGCTAGAAAGAAACTTTCATTTGTCACGTGAAGCCGACTTAATTTTGAAGAGACCACAAAAGGATGACGAAATGACAAATCGTAGCAATTTCGGGGGTCTAGAATTTTTGTTGTTTCATCACCAGCAGGTCGACTTGATAAATAATACAAATTAGGGATATTGTTATCCTGTTTTGGCTTACATCAGATTATAACCAAGCAAATTTAAGATGAGAACCAATAAAATTCACACTTCTTTTTTTCTCTCATCCAGTGTAACTTCCACAATATTACAACCTAGAAGTGACGAATGTTTGACTTACACCTCCGCGTGGTGGTTGTGGTCCATGAGGATATTGGAACTGTTCGTCGTGATACTGGGCACGTAGTCGACGCTCGACTTCGTTATCATCACTGTCTTCAGCTCGCCTTGACCACTCAGTAGCCTTCACCCGGATTTCTTGATCACTGTAGTAATAATCTGTGAAGAAGAGTAAGCATTGCCGATCACCATCATCATCATCGTCATTATCATCATCATCACCATCATCATCATAATACTAAACACGTGAATGACACTGTTAACATTATTGCAAGTCCTGAAAAATGCAAGTATTGAAAAATGCAAGTTTTCAAAGCAAGTTTTGACAAATGCGCAGAGTTAGACATGTTAGCGGTCCATATTAAGAAAAGTATATTCTTTAAACATTATTGATTACATTTCTAAAAGGATGAAAGTCTGTAAACATATCATAGATCAACCAGTTGTACCTTCAGGATGTCGTTTCACCCTCTGATCGAGAGGCACGTCCAAGGGACGACTTTGACGAGACGAACGACTGGTCTGTGGTGGTATGGCTGATTGTCCACCTTCAGATGAATCCCATTCTTCATCAGTCGTACCCCTACGTGTATCCCTGTCATTGGAACGGGCACGATTGGAGTCACGATCATGAGGATGGGTACGATGGGTATCACGATCTTGAGAACGAGCCCGGTGGTTGTCATGGACGCGTGGTAAAGGAGGCTCTGGACGACGAAACTCAATTGCTTTCTCCTGCATTAAAAACAATACCAAATCCATGTAAACATCTGTTTTTAAGTAATATCATTATGAAATCCCTTTTTAATCCCTTTAATGATTTTCTTTTTGGGGGAGTGTGGTTTTGGAAATTCCTTCTTTTTAAGATGTATCTATTCACTTGCTTTCTATTGGCTAAGGTATGAGTCTAACTTTTAATATCATTTAATCTTGAATCGGGAAGAGATCATACAAATACAGTTAAAATGTTCTTGATGTATGGCATTTTCCGATTTATGCAACGACATTGCACAATATATTTATACGAAGTCTTGTCTGGTTTATCTTTTCAAGGACTAATGTTTCTGTTCCTCAATCTCTTTGTTACTCACCGGAGTGACTGTGTCGTCATATAAGACATTTTCATCTTGATCCGAGAAGAGCCGCATCTCGCTGTTGGTACTATCAAGACTACTCTCTCTAGACATCATCCTCGGTCTCTGCGGTCTCTCTCCTCTGTTGATACTCCCTTGTCGTGACGGGATTCCTGAATCGCTCAAGCTGTCGCTGACTCCACCATCTCGTTCTCTATGGCCGTCGGTGATCGGTAGAATAAGACCCTGCTGATCTCGACGGATTCCTCGTTCACGATCAGTCAGTTGAGGCGACGAATAATGAAACGGTGATCCACGCTTGAGCTTGGCACGAGGGTAGGTGACTGGTTCTTGTCCCTCGTAGCGCACAGATTCATTCGCCGAGGAGTCCGCCTCGTATGCTGCCTTGAGCGTCTCGAGACTATGACTTGCTGATATGATGGGGTCGCTGGTCGTTGACCCACTCGAACTCCAGTCCGATTGTCTTCTAGTTTTGAGCTCCTCTAGTTTCCTTGCTGATTCCTCCATCTGACGTCGTCTTCTATCCAGCTCTTGACGGAATTGTTTCTCGCTCTGCTCCCGAATCTTTCTCTCTATAAGTTCACCCTCCTTGCTCAGGCGCTCCACATCATCCTAAACATAGAATAAAGAAAAACACTGATAATGATAAATGCAAAGCAAATGTAAATGCAAGTAAACATTGATGCCTGTTTTAACGTGCTATGCCTTGTTAATTTGCAGGCCTGTCATAATCAAGGCATTTCCGTGTTATGTCTTCCTTAACTACTTAATGAAATAATGAAATAACCTTCTTCGAACATTAGTTCAAGATAGCATAAATAAAGAAACAATGATTTAGATATTGGTGACAATATGTGTAATGTCAGTTTCATAAAATAAATTGATCTCATGACTTACCGACGTAGCATTGGACGATTCTTTACCCCGAGAGTGGTTAGAAGACCCCCTTTTCGTTTTCGATGAGGAGTCATAGGAGAGCGACCTTTTATCGCTCATGCCTCCTGCACGTCGATCAGACACATTCTGGTGTAGAAAGTCAAACTCCGAGTCCACATCTTCCTTGATGGGTGAGAAAGCAGGAGCCACGGAGTCAGTTGGCTGCCATCTTGCTTTCCTCCTCTGAGGTGAAGCTTGTTGTGATCCTCGGACAGGTAGTCCGCTACCAGACTTTCCCGTCTTAACAGTCGATGATGACTTACTTCCGTTGGTTCCTTCCCTCTGCTCGCCTTCTTGCCTCTCTGGGCTGACAACACTTGTTTGGATTTCAGAGGGTGGCTGGGATGGAGATGGTGGGGAATTATCTAATTGCGCTCTACGATGGGCCGTCACCTGCTTCAGCTCCTCTTTCATCTTATGACGAACAGTTTTTAAACCATAATCAGGAATTTCTGAGGTCGTAAATTTTTCTTGCAAAGGAGTTCTACGTTTGTTATCCTTCTTAAATCGGTTGTCATCTTTGTTGTCGCTGTACCTCGATCGAACCTCATTTTCTATCTGAGAAGTATTGTATGCTTTATAGTCCGTACCGGTGGCTTCTGAGATCTGCTTTTCAATTTCTCTTAAAATGTCCTCTTCAGATTTCGATAATCTTATTTGATCTCCAGGAGACACCATGATTGAAGATGGCAGATCACTTGTTTCTATCTCGTGAATACGATCTGAACTGATGGAGAGTTTACCCGTCGGGAATGGGTTATACATGCCGTATAGTGGGTGAAGTAAAGCAGCCAATTCTTCTGTTTCCTTGTCTTCACTTGTAATGGTGACGTCTGAATCGGAAAGGCTACCTTCATTCACCCCAGCTACACGAACCTTGTGGTGTTTGTTATACCTGCGAGAGAGCCTCTCCTTTCCTTCCTCAAGCCTTTTTGAATCTGAAGAAAGTTTTCTCAATTTTAGAAGAGCTTCGCGTCTCTCCTTCTCTAGTTCTGCCGCCTTTCTAGCCAGTAGTTCTTTAACTTTCTTGACCTCGATACTTCTTTCAGGATCTCGTAGAATCTCATCAATGGTTGTACTGAGGTCAGGTTTGATAGAGACAGTGACTGGCTGGACATTCAGCGGAACTGTAGGGAGACGCCGACGAACTTTGGCTGGTGTGCTACTCTCACTATCACAGCTTTCAGCATCACTTGAAGATGCCTGTCACAAGGTGAAACAAGGATGAACAAGAACGAAACAAAATGTTAATTAAGATAAACGCCTTAAATGGTGCGGATATTAAATTATTGCTTTTTTAATATATATATATATATATATATATGACTGAGGGTAACATTTAAAAACGTATGTTTTTCATTAATCATCGTAATCGTGTCCTTCTCCTTCGAATCTTGTTAAAGAGTGTATGTTTATCTTTACCATGAACAAAGCGAAACTGCTCTTCTGTACATAAGCAAACATAACAAATTGTGTGAATGTAAACGTTATTAAGATTTCTAGAATAATATGAGAAGGTCCGCGAGATTTTGTCGGTCTCGAGGGCTGATCCTTACCTTTAGATAGTCCTTTCCCGAAAACTGTCCGCTGTGTTTCATGGCAGCAATCGTGTCCTGAGTAGTACTTTGTGATCCTGTATCTTTCCTTGATGCTCTCGGGTTTCTCCTAGCTGCTCCACTAGGTTCTGGACTGGAAGATCCGCTGGATGATGCATTGGATGCCATGGTGTGCTTGATTTCCTCAAACGCAAACGGTCTTCTGAAGCTGAAATCAGTGTCTGTAGAATGAGTGGAGGAGGTGGGTGACATCTCAGGGCTGGTACCTACGCCAATGCTAGTTGTATGGACAGACTTAGAAGGGGAAGAAGAGTTGGATTCTGGGCTTTCGTTACCAGGCCCCACAGCTGCGTCGGAGAATGATTTTGAACGAGACTTGCTTTGCTCGCCGAGTGGAGGTGGTGTCGTTTGCGTTCGACGTTCAACCATAGTTTGCGTCTGAGCTGACTTAGATTTCAAATTATCACATGCTATAACTGTGTTCTCTGATGTGCTTGTGCTATCCTCAGGACTAATTGTGCTACCTGTTTCAACGAATAAAGGACTTTTAAAGGATTTACTACGGGATGAAGAGGGGTCTTCAGTGAGTGTTTCAGGCCACGTAATGCTAGCAAATTCCTCGAAACTAGATCCCATTTGAGTCAGAACCGAGCGACATTTTCTTCGATCATCGTTCGGAGCATGCGTTTCCACCTCTGATTCTACTTGTGTGGAGTGCTCCATTGGAAACATGGTTTCTGGAAATGTGCGCTTTGCAGCCCATGATTTGGGAGTTAGGGGAGGCGAGAAAGGGTTTGGTGAAATAGGACTAGTGCGAGGGGAGGATACATTAAATATTTTACTAGGACTTGTAATTCTGGGTCGTTCATAAGCTTTGGAATCCATTGTTGGTGTTCTTGGTGAATCTAAAACGCCAGAGTTGTCGCGCTTGGCGTTTGGCGTAAGGTCAATGTCTAGCTGAGGACGGTATGGAGACTGTGCTACCATGTCTTTTTCTACAGTGGCTGCTACTGGTGCGATGTGTTCACGTGTTAAAACGGAAGACAAAGATTCAAAAGTCTGATCAGTTGACAAATCTGATAAATCTGATGCGGATGCTGATGCAGATGCATCCCATGATGGTTGATCCTTACGCGATCTTTGTTCAGAGCTTCGACCTGTACTAAACCTATCTTCACACGGTGACATATAATCAGGGCTCTCCTGGGTTTCTTCTGAGGTCTGTTCCTGGATAGTAGATAGCATGTTCATACGATCTTGTTCTGGTATGGTTTCTTCTTCTGATTCTTCAGCTTCCTCCTCCTCGTCTTCATCCTCTTCATCCAAATAATATTCATCTATTTCCTCTTGCTCTTCCATTACGGTTGCTAAACCCTCTTCTTTTATTCGGTAAGGCGAAAGATGTTCCACTACTTCATGTTCCATACTGATGTCCTCCATGATGACGTCTTCCATGTAGTCAGTGTAGTCATCGCCGCTGTCAAAACTGGAGTACGACCGATCTTCTGTCATGTAATCTTGGTCCTCATAGTAGTCACGATTGATGTCATCCTCCGAATCATCTGCAAGAGAAGTGCATTCAGAAGACAACAGATCAGTAGCCAGTTCAGTCGGTGGACTTCCTCCTTCTACATCGAATATTGGTGACAGTGGCGTATCTCCGGCAGGCTTTTGACGCTTTCGTCGTATGCCATTACTCGAGTGTTTTTGTCCGACTGCAGCCATTCTCCCTCCCAATCCAACTTTTGTGAGATCTTCAACTGAGATGTATTTTGACTCAGCTCCATCTGTATTTGGAGGCCATATTGAATCATCATCACCACCTCCTATTGCCCCTAGATCTGTAAGTCCTGGTAGATCTGACAAGTCTTCCGAATTCTGCTTTGGTCTATCCCCAAGGAGTGTTTTCCTACCTCTTCTACTTTGATCATCCCTAATTTCACTATCACTGAGACTTTCGTACTCCGATGGCACAGTTTCCTGTCTTTTAATGAGCTTATAGTGACTGTCGTCAAGGGAACCCTGTCTAGGGGGTAACTCCTCAGACTTTCCTCGCTTTAATCTCAACATTTTAGAAACTGCTTCTCCCATTGATTTTTCCTCTGCAAGTCGCGTTTCTTCCTCAGCCATGGTGTCTGCGTCTATATGATGTGGGTTATACATGGAGACGTCAGGTTTTACCGTCACATTAGAAACAGTGCTTGGTAAATGAGTCTGCATAGAAGATTGACATTCATCCTTATCCGCGTTAGAGGCTAGACTCTCTTTTGATGACGATAGAACGAACGTTGATATAGGACTACCTCTGTCAGCGGTCAAAGTGAAAATAGGCCTGGGATTCTTGCCAGACAGGTCTTCCCCAACGTGAGTTCGTTCACTATCTCTCGATCCAATCTGCGTTTTGTCTAATTTGTCAATTGCACCTTCCTTTTCTTTGGTTTTCTCCTTTGTTTCACATGAGGCATTACTACCAGCCATGGCTAATAGTTGACGCATCATTTCACTATCATCTATACTACCCTCTCTCTCATCATGAGATGAAATATAAGGCTTTTCCTTGGGTTTATCACTAGAAGGGGCAACGCTTTGCGTGACTGGAGGAGATTGTTTTTCACTATCACGTCCCCTCACTTTAACTTCTTCCTTACTCATGGCAACATCAATTCGACTAGGCCTGGGTTTTGAATCAGGTGAATTTTGTCGAAGTCTTGGTTTTGAATCAGGTGAATTTTGTCTAAGTCTAGTCCTACTCGGGTTCTCACTCACTGTTGCGACGGGTACAAATCCTACATTTTCATCACGCGTGAGAATATCAGTTCTTCTAGAAACAACATTCGAAGCTGTCTGTGAATGTATTGATTCGTGCACTAGATCGTGTTCAGGTTGTTTCACAGACCCGAATTTCCTTGGAACGTCTCTAAATACTGGAGAAATGTCCAGACTACGAGGTTGTTGCGGGGAATTCTGTTTTGACCCTTCCACTACTGGAGACCTGTCCCTTATGCGAGGGTTTTGAGCATTGTTCCTTTCATGCCCTGACGCCCCTTGATGGCTAGTTCTGTCCGGAGACTGAGTTTTTTCCTTCCTTGACGAATCCAAGGTACGAGATTTATGAGAAATCACCGGGTCTTTATCATGTTCAAGCAATCCCGGTGAATTGTTTCTATCTGGTTTCCTCAAAGAAGGCGAATCTCGCAAAACATCTGTCTTATTTCCATCGTATTGTCGAGAAACTTTCGATGACGGTGAGTCTCTTGGTCTAGGTTTGGTTGGGTTATCTGGAAGGCGAGGGTTGTGAGGCTCTCCGTTCTTCCCGTGTACCTGGAACCCATCCGTTGGTTGACTGACTACCATAGAATGAGCACTACGACTAGGGGAGGAATGTGACGATTCGGCTGATGAAGGTGAGGACCGGGTTCCGTTTCTTTGGCTTTGTGATGATTGGGAATCTGCAAGTATGCGAAATAGGAATTAAATTAAAACTGAAATAAATAATAAGGTGAATTAAGAACCTTTAACCATAAACTGTTATATTCTATAGGCTGCGTAATGGAAATTTTTGAATTAACAATGCACTAATTATTTATGGTTTATGCTTGATAAGAATAAACTATCTTTTCTAAATCCACATTTCTAGCAAATACATGGACATGAACTTTTCAAGGAAAATGAAAGGATTTCGGTTGGAAATCACTTGGAAATCACTACAAATAAATCTGTTTTTGATTCTCTAATTAGAAATCGAAACTTCTAACAATGTTGAATCGTAACGGGTTTCTACCAGATGACAAATATTTCTGCTTCTCACCTTTTTGTATCGATGATCGATCCGATTCAAATGAAGAAGACGATGATCGTATACCATTACCTTTATTCGACTTGGTAGCTGAGATAGGATACAAAGTAAGATAGTCGAATTGAATATCATTTCTCAACTTTAAGAAAAAATGAACTAACGACCTATAATTTCGATGTTGTTTCATACTGCAGGATATGCCTTTCATAGAAAAACGAGGATTATTTTTACCAAGTTAGATGAAGAGAAATGGACTATAACTGTTGTATTAATTTTTTTTTTTTTTTTTAAGTATTATTTGATGAGTAATATTTAGTAGAATTGTATTTTGAAGTAAATTGTCTTAAAATATTCTCCACATAGAAAGTGTTATGTTTTAGGAAACGTGACAATTATACAGAACTCCTTTCATCAGAGTGTATTCCTTGTTCATGGATTACTGAATTGTTGTTTTAGAAATTTCCATTTTTATGAGTGCCGGTTGTTTGTTTTATTTGAAACATAGAAATTATGTTTACTTTTCAAAAATAAGAATGTATAGAATTCAGAAATATTATTTCAAACCTCAACGAAAGACATTATAATAAAAAAAAATATATAAGAAGCACTTTAATTTTCCGTGCTAAATGGCAACTTCCTAACGAATAAAACCCTATCATCGTTATGTCGAAGAGTAATGTGATAACACAGGGTAGATCTATCAGATTCTAGAGGTGAAGAAGTGCGATATGTAATCTTACAAAGGCAGTGGTTCTGTTTTTTGCTTTCTAGTTTTCATTATTTTCATTTTGCTGTTTCTTGACAGCTTATATCTTAAAGTTAAACACCATATCCGAACTGAAAAAATTAAATGGATGAATTTTATACCAACGGAAAGCTTATGAGCCATAGATTACAATATCATCAATTATATAAGCCATTTTAGTGTTTGTCAGAGTATCAGCTCTCTGAAAACTCTAAATCTAAAGCTTTGAAAATCGGAAGTTGTCGACCTAAAACTTGAAAGCTATCGACTTGATGACATTATCTTATGTTTAGTACGCATATTCACAATGACGTTGCACTGATTAAGCACGGCTCATCGCCTCAGCTACATAGGTGAACCGATGAGGTCCACAAGTTATGTCGTCACTGTAACTTCGGCAAAGTTGACCCCTGTTGAACCGTAATTTGGAGGGGTGCAGAAATGAGGTTTTAATTTGCTTTTGTGCAATAAAGGGTAAATGCTTTTTATTCCTTTACATTTGTATTCTACATTCATTCAGTTTTCCATTTATATCAGGTTGTATTTTGATCGGATAGGGTCTTTAAGATTAATTAGGGATATTGAGGGAGGCAAATGGCTCCATGCCCCTCTTTAAACGGTTCACATAGTACATGTTCATTACATATACGGATCGAAACCTGTACAACTTTATCAGTACATTCTTACAGTAGAGATGTTACGATAGATCCCTATATAAATATTTCTTACGTGAGCTAGAATCTGGTGACTGTTGTTGACTTCGGTCCAAGCTACTATTGGAAGACGAGACCTCAGTAAGAGGTTGGTTCTGTAATGAAGTTATTGGAGCTGATAACTGCTCACTAAGACCGCGATGCAATGGCGGACGAACCCTTTCACCGTCACTCGATGAGAAAGAGGCACCACGTTCCAGTTTCTTTCGTCTCTCACGACTCTGAAATACAAATTAACATAATTGTATTCACTTAAAAGAGAAGTAAATAGCAACTGGTCGATGATAAGTTGTATTTATTACTGTAAAACTATTTCCATTCTTTTCTTCTTAATCTAAAAAAAGAAGAAGATACCCGTAACTGTAGGATAAATGAGCTTGTTATAGGGTCTTTGTGAAATGATTCATAGAGATCATTATAGTGTGTTTGTCTAGGATATGTCATCATTATGTTGACACACCAATACAATATATACACATTTCATATATCTCAGTTTCAGTTGACTCCATGCTTGAAAAAATATAGCTACAATATTCTGTTTTAGTAAAATATCCAATTATCTATGATGTACACTGAACACTGCCTTGCTCGAGGATGCTAAACGTTCCCAGGGAACTCTGTACGACAGTACAAAGTAAATATTCCAATAGTTTTAGAGTCATTGATGAAGAAACATTTATTTCCCAAGATACCATTATTTCTTCAAATATATAGTCTCTTAATCTACTCGTGATCTCTGGAAGAGACGATAAAGCCAAGAAAATGTTTATATCGAATTCGTCATGAGCACATGGACGTTAAGTTGACAAAAACCAAACACACGAACTTAATATACACATGTTGAGCAATACTTGTCATGTATTTTACATGTTACATGTTATCTAGTGTGGTATATTGAAATTGCTACAGAGAAGTAAATGTTTAAGCGTTGAAAAATCATTTCAAAGACCATTAGACAATTCTCTGAGCTCTCCAGTTATCAATACAAGATGAAGAGGGAGAGGGAGGCGTAGGAGGGAATTACACTGTTCGTTGGGCCATTCCGATCTATGAGAGAGAGACAAGACGCCACGTTCAGTTTCCTTCACACATATAGCCGTAATACACCATAAAGACAAAATTGAACAAAAAAGAGAAGAAGGTAAAGAAGAAGAAGAATCAAAAGGAAAAGAAGAAGAAGAAGAAATACGTGTCACATCTCCATACCTCATAACTTAAAGAACTGTTAAGTGGGAATGGACCTTTGTTGCTCACATAGACTTATTCACCTCACTTGCCGTCCCTTTTCATGTACAAATACATGTATTTCTATTTTGCCTTCTCTTGTACCGGTTTACCACGTCGTGTATGAACGAGGGTTTAAAATCTAATCTTTGATGAGCATACAACGGACGTACATAAGTACATGTCTTCAAACGGCATCGATCACTATCGCTTTGTGTGTTGTGGTAACATTTAGCACCCTGACTGAAAACTGGGGCAATTGGATCACATGGAGAGCCTCGATTTACCGCGAAGGACTTAAAACAAGCATTTTAAGCAGATGAAGGAATTACAGAGGTAACACATTTTTCTTGTAGAACTGTATCATTGCGCCATTTGCAAAGAAAGTGGCAAGACGAAAAGCTCACTAGAAAAAAAAAACACGCCAGCATATCGCTCTTCTGAAGAAGAAAAAGAAAACTCAACATACATTGATCTATTATTCTGCTGTCAAGACGGAGGTTTACGATTACTTGACATACTCATTAGCAAAAATGATAGCCATGTTCTAACACTTTCGTCAGAAAACATACCCTAACAATTAAACATTGTCATTTTTGACAGAAGGAGACTGCATTGATCTTCTTAAGTGAAAACATTTATTAAGAATAAATAATGTCAGGAATATGCATTTACTGTAATACATGTAGTAATAGATTGAACAAATATCCCAAATTACCGACAATCATTGAACTTTTTTTTAGAGTGAGATGAATTTCGTGAATTTGTTGTTAAGAAGTAACCTTCAACATTAAATACTCCACACTAAACTAAGGTATATTTTACTGCAAATGAGAAATAGCTAGGACACATAACATAAATTAACACAAGATATTTCGGTTTTCTTTGCCGTTCCTGCTACACAACTATTCTGTTGTACTGTATATGTCGGCGAACGAGCAGATTGATGAACCAGGTTACAGGCCAGGGCAAGCATACATCTCAATCAAGTGATTTGCATTGGATGCTACATATACCCTTTACACTGTTTACTTGATGCAATCCCATTCTAAAGTTCAACAGGATTCGAAAGAGAAATGTCAGTAGGTGATTCGTTTTATGAATTGTCACTGGGTGTAGAGAGTCAAACAGTATGGTATGGATCGCTGGATAATACATCGATCTCTACACAGCTCGTATCCTTCTTGAGAAAACACTCTAACATTCGAGTGGTCTAGAATTTAATGTTTCGAATAAATTTCAAGGGATGTTTCATATTCAAAAGGAAAGATAATTGGAGCGACAGAATTTCACTTAAAGATTATCATCTATCTTAGTATTTTAAACGAGAACAGAAATTGACTGTATACAATGACTTGAAATAGCGATATCAAGCTTGGCTGCATCATTATTTTTTTGCAACCAGTGCCCCATTTCACAAACTTGTCATCAATGACAATTCAATGATAGTTTTTTGTAATAAGCTAGTAAAATCCTTGCTTTTGATTGGTTATCAGCAGATTTGTCACTGATTTTTGTCCTTTTGCATTGAAAAAGGCTTTGTGAAACGGGTCCCAGGATTGTAGCATTTTCTTCCCATACCCAAACCCTTCCCTGTATGAGCAGAAATTAAAGTCCATAGACCTTACATGCATAAAGCCCTAATCTTGAAGATAAAATACTGAAAGAAGAAGAGATAGAGAAAAAAGTCACAGCTGGTGTACGCGGTATTGCTACAGTATTACAAAACGCGTTCATTTTTAAATAAATATATTCTCTTCAATTACAACGTTTACGAGGCAGAGAGATCTTATTCAATGTATTTGTAACGATGAAGTATGATGTTCAACAAGTTTCATAAAGTTTGAATGACATTTGATGAAAATGTCTATTTGGTTAATTATGGGCCTCCATGAAATAATGGAAGGTTCGAAATAACTACTTGACACTGATAGATCGTGCAATGTTTCGGCATGCTTTACATCTCTTCTATAGGCTGTGATTTCATATTAATCCCAAACGCAGTAACGCTATAACATATCGCATACTTTCGGACAAACGGTATATGTAGACCAGTAGTGGTAAAATTGCGGTTCAAAGGTTTTGGGTGCAACATACCCATTCAAATTTATTTAAATATTGCCTTCAGAGGTCTAGATGGCAATAATTCAACCTTAATTCGCAAAAAAGCAGAAACATATGCCAAAATGTTCAATGTTGAAGTGCATTCGTGATGTCTATCCAGGGGGGTGTTTCATAAAGATGTTCGTAAGTTACGCACGACTTTACGCACGACTGGAACATGTTCTTCGGTGCTAATCAGATTCTCAATCATTTACATGTAGCACAAGAACTTATCACCAGTCGTGCATAAAGTCGTGCGTAACTTACGAACAGCTTTATAAAAAACACCCCCAGGCCGGATCGATATGATAATTTACCAAATATATCAATTAGTAGGCGGTTTCCCGGAAAAATTTGTATCATCACGTATTAGTCAAAACATATTCTTTCACATGATTGGTAATAAGAGTTCCCGTTTCATTTTTTGAGAGAAGGGCGTTTCCAAAACTGGTCTATACCTTTAACATTGTGAGTACATTATGAATAATCTTATATAATCAGGAATTTTAGGACGAATTATGCCGAATACTGAACAAAGCATGAGGGTGCAGATGAAACGGGAAAAAAGGAGTAGTTTACAGTCGACAGAGGAACAAATAAAAAAATACCTTAATGTTAATGTAATTTGGTAGATTCAGGACAAATAAACCTATTATAGGAACAATTTTGTAAATTATTGGGGGGGGGGGGTTCGGGAGGGTGTTGAGGGATGTTGTTCCTTCCCTTTCAAGCTATTATTATATCTTTAATGAACCTCAGTCAGCGCAAAGCAATATACAACGGAATAACAAATGTTAGGCTCGCATGCAGCTTAGCACACAGTTCGCTCTCGTATGTTTATCTACTTCAATTCACAAGCCTCGCATTTATATTAAACATTCGACTCAGCCACGTCAAACCCTAGAATAAATTTGTAAGAGGATAATAATTGTCATTTGATAAACTCGAGGCCATGCTGGGATGGTACCTGTAAAAACATTTCGATTGATGTTTCTACAAATTATTATCTTTGCTTGCCAATCAAATTACTGGCAAATAACCTTGCAATTGACATAAACTAAACATGCGATCATTGTTACAGGTTTCTGCTAGAAAATAATACAGAAAGCAAACACGATTGAAGTTCTGGGGGAGGGGCTTGACTAATTGGATTGGTTCATGTTTAATGCATAAATCTTTGATTCATGACAATGCAATAGTGTACGAAAGAAGTGATACCAAGACAATTTCATCTTTCATTCAGTAGCAGAAGCCTATCTTGGGATCCTAAACCTTAGCGTAGTAATCACACAATAGAACCAATTACATTCCCGGATATATCATTCTATCTGTGCATTCAAATCAGATTGCCTATTAAACTACTCACCTTGTACACGATTGTAGATGGGATTTTATGATTCCAGTAAGGCCCCATGAATAATGAGATTGTAGCCAAAAACTGAGAGTTTTTTTTTTATCGTTGTAATTTCAACTACTGGACACGTAAAAAAGGAAATCCCGCATAAAAAATTGTATTTGACTGTGATTTGTGATAATTCGATATTAGATTTGTGCACATCCATCTCAAATCTATTGCAAATTGCAATTATTTGTCTAAGTTATATTTCTCATATGTGCTGTTGTATAGTGGTAGAAGTACACTTTATTGTACAACTTGTTTAGTACACGGCTTATTTGCCGTGCATAATATATAAGGTCCATGTAATAATCTGCACGTTTTATGCAGAGTGATATTAAAAAGTACCCAATCATAATTAGTGAATGAATAGTTCAATGAGATTTCCCTTTCAGTATAGGAAGCTTCCGGTGACATCATGTGGTAGCCTTACCGGAGAGGCTGGTGATATTTTCTAATAAAAAAAAACTCTTGTGGGGCGTTGAAAAGGATTAAGGA